GTATAATTTAATATTCCATACAAGGAAGTCATGTGGTGTACACATCAGATTTTTTAACAAAAGAAAGTGCTAAGATCTCCAAAAGAGGGCGATGTAGCAGCCCTCAACTGGTGAGTAAAAGGTTTCAGTTTTGGTGGGGTTTCGTAGATTCAATACTGTAAAACGAGGTGTGGAATGATGACACAATGTATTGTAATGTATATAATGAATTAAAGCGTTATATGTTTTAAAATGTGGAGTTTTTTCGAAAAGTTTTCACACTTTTTTGGAGCCACTAGTGAAAAGGAAGCTATGAGGAAATCTAACTGTTTAGTTGTAAGCTTTTGTTGGAGATTTGTGGGATTTTGCTTGAAATGAAAGTAGAATTTGCTTTGATGTTTTGTTTCATATTTGAATTGTTTGTAAAATGTCGGTATTAGCTGAGTGGAGAAAGGAACGTAGCGCAGTTAGCTTTATGTTAAAAGTTGAAGATTTTATTAGTGATGATTCTAGAGAAATATATGTAACAAATAAAGAAGATATTTTAAAAGAATTTTGAGTCCAAATAAAGATAAGGAAGCTAATTTAAAACGATTAAACGATTAAATGAAAATTCCTCGTGATGCTGATGATACAGAAGAGGAAATTTCTGTGTCAGAGGCATGTTCAGAAAAAATTATCCATTATCTTCTGGAAACTAAAAATAGCCAATGCAATTGATACATGAATGAAAGATGAAATTAATACTAATAATGTAACCTAATCTATCCCAGCAACTGCTCAGGTTACTCCAGAAAACCAATTCTTTAGATAGCGTGCATTTTAAGTGTCTCATGCCTCAAAGACGCTATACTTTTATACACCTTCCAAGCCTTCTTCAGGATTCATATCCGTGTTCAACAATACGACCGTCAGCAAAGCTAACCACTATATCGATCAGGTCGATGCCTATTTTAGAGTAACAGGTTACAGCCGAGGTTATTCTACAAGTTAAAGCAAAGGTACTAAAAACTACATTCCCCTTCCGATTTATGCGAGGATGGACCACATTTAGATTATTCATAGGGGGACTGCAAGAGTGTATTTTGTGTTTTGATTTTATTACCTACAAAGATTAAAACTTCTGGATACACCAGAAAAACAAATCTTTAGATAGCGTGTCTCATACCACAAAGACACTATACTTTTAAAATCTCTAAGCCTTCTTCAGGATTCGAACTCGAGTTCTACAATGCGGCCATCAGCAACGCTAACCACCATATCTATCAGGCCGGTCGCAATTTAAAAATAACAGACTACAACCTGGTTATTATACAAGTGAAAGGTATGGAAACGTACATTCCCCTCATGACTTATGTGAGGAGAGATGACATTTAGATTCTTCATAGAGGGACTGAAAGAGTGCATTTTGTGTTTTGATTTTGTTACTTACAGAGATAAAAACTTCTGGATACACCAGAAAAACTAATCTTTAGATAGCGTGTCTCATGCCCCAAAGACACTACTTTTACAAACCTCCAAGCCTCCTTCAGGATTCAAAGCTGAGTTCAAACATACGGCCGTCAGCAACGCTAACCACTATATCGATTAGACCGACGGCTATTTTAAAGTAACAGACTATTGCCAATGTTATTATACCTGCAAAGATAAAAGCCTACAAAGATAAAAAGATTTGTTGTTACCTACAAAGATAAAAACTTCTGGATACTGTACAATTGAGAGCGCTTCAATTTGAAGATAAAAGTGTTTCAGCATGTCGCTAACTAAAATACAGTTTTGGGGGAAGATAACAAAAAATAATTGCATGTAATTTTAATTTAATATTTTTGGGGGTAAAAAACAATTAAAAATATCCAAAGGCCCTAGTAAAATTCCTGTCTTTAATCAAACTGGAAAAAAATGCAGTCTTAAGAATTAGGCTCGATCTTCCCGATCCGATAAAGAATAATACTCTACTCTCCCATTTTAATAGAAGAAAAACTAAGAATTGCTTTATCTGTACAAGAGTTGCCCAGAATAATGGAAATACTATACTTAAAAAGTTAAAATTATCTCTAGCGGTTATACAGTAATCCGTAAAAGTAACCAACATTTTTTTTTGTGTGTGTATCATTATTTTATATATATTTTCAAACTTGTGTAAAACTGCAGATTTCAAATGTGGTTTCTAAAACTTAGTTCATAGTGAAAGAAAATAAAGTAACTTGATTGATTCCAAAGAGGTCAGATTGTTCGTGCCCGGCTTGATCATGTAAGCCCAATTGTCAAATTGCTGGGAATATCGAGAGCTACTGCGTCTAAAGTCATGACAGTACAGAACATTCTTCGCAAAACATCACCAGTGAGATACAAGTTAGGAGCAAAGCGAAATTTACTGGCAGAACCAGAAAGACTTTGCAGAGAATTATTATAACAAAAAGATAAAGATGATCGCTGAGTTTAATAACCACTTATATACGAGTACTAACTCAGTTTCGGTGAATAGGAAAGGTATAAGCAGAATATTTACTGCAGAGTTGTGATCTCTAAATCTGTTGTGTCACAAATAATGCAAAATAGACAAAACAGTGATCTCAGGAACATAAAACGTTGAATGTTGATCAATGGAAATAAATACTAGTTTTAGATGCGAAGAATAATATAATCCGATTCTTCTCTTTTAGGCACATCTCTTTTACGATTGTAACGTGTGTGTCGTCAGTGCAGAAAGGACATCAGTTTTTTTTATCAAATTAGACGACCATATCATTTTCCACAGTAGTTTTTTACTATGGTTATTGAGGCAAACCAAAAGAGAATAGAAAGTTCATATTCTAAAGAAACAAATTTAGCCAACACTTACGATACTGTCTGTTTACATTCTAAAACAGTCATATCACGTTTTGAAACAGATCCAATTATTACCATATAAGGAGTAAATATTTTTGACTCCAAAACAGTTTTGAACGATCATGTCTATTCAACATTTCAGATATTAATCCCTATGAAAACTTCATCATCCAAGAAGATTTCGCCAAGGTTATATTGCTGAATAGTAGACTGAAGCATGAAGATGAAGTTACCATCTTCTCTAGCACGAATAAAATATCACTAACTATTGTTGTTTGCGCTAGAGAAAAAGAATGAGATCTCATCTCTTTTTTTTCTTTCCAGCATCTCTGAAAAAATGGATCCATTGCTGCTATAGTAAAAGCATAAAATTGCTGTAACTTACCTATTTAGAATTTGTATACCTGTAATTTAAAAATTTCAATCAGAGCTGGATGCAGTTAGATTCATAAATTTTCGTATATTTAAGTGTTCCCATTATTTTGCCACCTACATAATAAATTTTAGTAGGCATTTAAAAAGAGCATCAGTTTTTGAGCAACAAAAGGCGAGTAATATATAAACAGTTACATATATGCAAGGCAGATCCTAGCAGAGGACAAAATGGTGCAATGCACATGGGTGGCCAAAATTAACGACGATGAAATGATTATTAAGCATATTGTTACGAAATGTACAGGCGCGGTAAGATGGCTTCCCCGCAAAGCAGTTTTAGGGTTGCTATAAAATGGCAAAATAAGGCAAGTTTGCCACATTTGGAGAGAAATCGCCCATTTGGCGACAAAATTGGCGATATGCCATGGACGGATGGAGAAACTTCTGGAACGAATTCTTACCGGTTTAGCCCAGAATGCTCTCGAACATAAGCCGAAAGCTATATAAACCCTGCTGGTCCGCAGTCAGTCAGTGTGTGCCTCATCTAGCGAGCGTATAGTCAGTCATTAAGCGAGTGTCTCGAACTCTAGCGCCGAGTTGGTCGTCGAGTGCTTCGACAGAGTCTTTTAGTGTATCGCGAGTTGTAGCGTGGAGAATCTCGAGAACACGTGGAGTTCCGAGAACGACCAACGTTGTGAGTCGGGAGCTGTACTCTGGTACTTTGCAGTGAAGCTGTCTCCACCGTTATCCCCTGACAGTGTGAAGGCTGTGTTGCTGAACGTGTCAGCGTGTTTATAACAGTTCGATGGTTGTAAAACTGATTTTGGAGCTATCTGATTAATATTGGTAAATAAAGTGTGTTTCGATACTGATGAAGTCGTCGTTATTCACTCCAAATCCTACGAACCCCGTACAAAAGAAGAAAACAACGCAACAATATTTCTGTAAAAAAGTACGGCCAATTTTAATTTGCATATGGGCGACCAACCTGTCTAGGATCGGCACTGCATATTTGTATATATCTGACCGTAGTGTGCTATTCAACTAGATATCGATCGGAAAAGAACAAGCTTGCAGAATTTAAACCCCGAATCTCTAACAGAAATGAAATTTCTGCATTACTTATACAGTTTTGTACATAAAGTTAATTTGAAAATTATTTCGAATACTTCTACTGCTTCAAATTAGCCTAGCATATACTATTTTTTTCTTTTGTAAGCCAATAACAATTTCAACAACATTATATATACATGTAAGGAAATAACTTAGATTTTAACTCATGTATATTTAGTTAATAAAATTCCAAGTGTCATACATTCATAATTTAATACAATAAGTAAACCATGACGCTTTTGTTATTCTTTAGTTAATTAAACTCTCATATATAATTATTTTATGTTGAAATTTAATAAATTATTAAGAATGTTGGATGGGTTATTTTTTAATTTAATTTATTTTATTATTATTAAATATTTTTAAAATTTACTAAATTGTTATTATTATTAATTATTTTTTATTTTATTTTTATACTTATTAGTTATTTTTTTAATTTAGGCTTTTTATTTAGGTGCATAACAACTCTTTTTAGACATATATGAAAGATAATTTTCCCAACAATTACGTTTATAAGATGACAGAAGGAAGCGCGTTATGTGACATTCGTAAAATAAAACAAAAATGTGAGCTGAAAGCTAATTTAGACTGTCTATCCTAAAGCGTTTTCAACTTTTTTGTTAATTTTCTCTCCGGAAGGCACTATCTAACTGTTTATTGCTTTTCTGTCACTACACTGCATTGGTTTTCTTTTTCCTCCTCAGGAAGCAAGATGTGGATATGTGGTCCTGTGGATGGCTTTCTACTTCATGCTGGAACCTGTTCCTTTAGCTGTCACCGCCCTTCTTCCAGTTGTAACATTTCCGCTTCTGGGACTGTTATCGACTTCGGAAGCATGTTCACCATACATGAAGGTAAATGGAAATCGTACAAAAACATGTTTCCTTTTCTTAAATCCATGTATTAGATAGATTTAAATAGGAGATGAAATTGTTTAGGTTTCTTGCTCCATTGTTATTGTTGTTGTTATTTATAAAAGCAGACAGAAAAACACAAATACATAAAACCCAACACAGCAATAACAAATATGCAAACATCCTCTTGCCTCGCACATCCCACAGTCAGCTACAATTGTCTCTAAAGACAGCATTATTGCTTATTTATAAATGGAGATGTTTATCGGAGTTTCATACGAAGGGGGTAAAAATTAACCGTAAACTTTTCAAACTGTTTAGCGAAAAGAGTTTCGCTAAACAATCATGACCAGATAAATAACCGGTTAGAGTGACGGTGTTAGCCCGTGGAATGCCAGGCATGAATATGTAATTCAAGATCGAACACGTGACTGGAATTCTGGAAAAGGATAGGGTTCCAACTTTTGCCATTCTTCGGCTTGTAAATTTCGTAACACCTTACATGTAATTCCTTTTATATCTTCAAGGCACATTTTACTTGAATCAATAACCTACTACATTTATCTCTGATAAACAGAAGCAAAGCATTCGATAATTTTGAATTCTAAACGAGAATAACCATAAACGATATTTGAAAAATGTAGATAAAATTTTAAAACCTAGATAAAACGTGTTTTCACTTGAATGCCTGTTTTGAGGCCAATTAACTGAAATTTAGTATTATCTAAAGTGCATAAGATGTTTTAGAATTAAAAAGATCTTTGACCTGAGCCCTGTAACAAGGGCATAGGTAAGATTTCCTTTAAACGTGGCATGAATGTTGTCGAAAGAACACTTTTGAATGCTGAAGAATACAAAGGCATAACATTTGTGTGATCGGATTATCTTCGAAGAAGATGTAATAAAACTTTGGCATATCTTATATGTTATCTTAGTTACTATTATTAGCATTGTCGTCATCGTCGTGATCATCATCATCATATAGTTATCGCCGTTGTTAAGTGTATGATGATATGTGCTGTATTGCATGATTACTGTCGTCGTAATAACCATTAGCATCATCAACATTTTACAAACGATTGAATTTTTTTTTAAATTTCTGCTAGCATTCTGTCATCCATTGATTATAAGTTACATTGTGAAAATAGTTAAAATAATAGAAAGGTATAATCTTTTCTATTTTCTAGCAAAACAAAATTTTGGTATTGTCAGTTTCTGCAAGATGAAATTTTCTAGAATTACTTCCCATATTTATTTGAAAAAGTTTACTTTATATGAAAAATAATATTCTTTTTTTTTATTATTTCGTGATTAAAAATGGGCCTGTTTTATTTCAGTTTGCGGATTTTACAGTATTCATACGTAGAATTAGTTTTTTTTTTTTTTTAGAAGCTTTATGAAAATTTAATTTATTATTAATGTCTTTAAATCTTACAGCTTTACAGTTTACAAATATTCTCCCAAGACTGTTTGGTGCAGATGGGATTTTTAATCATGAGTCGAAAAGGTCTTTCTTAATGTATTATGCGGCTACGGCTATTGAAAGCTGCGATGGTGCTTGCGTAATGATCGGTTGCGTTAGCTCTACAATTTGCCAAAACACGATGCGGCAGAGTAACACATTTCTCCAGTAGGAATTAAAAAATAATTACAGTTTAAAATAGCATTTTATGGATTTCATTTCATATTTTGTACTTTAAGTAAGTTCCAGACAGTGAACGCAGGTTCATAACAGCGCTGCATGCGGGTTGACCAATGAAATATGAAATGCACAAGTTAATTTTCAAGTAACAGGAAGCGAAAAAAAGCATCGATGATTAATCAAACATTTTTATAGATTTATAGCTTTGCATATTGTTAATTTTATTAACACTGTGTTAAAAACAATTATTAATTAATATATACTTATTGTGAGACAGAAAATTTCGAATGTTCGTTTGCGATTATTTCATCCAAATTAGCTTTCATCTCCCTTGTAGTGATTCGTAATATAATTTTCATCAGTAATTTATAATTTGATATTGATACATATTTTTCGCGTACTTTTTGCATAAATATGTCTCTCCAAGTAAAACTAAATACTTTTTGACATAATCCACAATTTTTGAATTTACCTGCTTTAAGAAAACTAAAAAAAACCCGTTAAATCATTTGGATGAAAAATTTCATGTAACAAATAATCCGACTGCATATCGATCGGTTCTAATTGAATCTGAATTGGAGCATGCTGCATATTAAAATTAAACGGCGCACATATTAAGGCCAAATCTTTTTCATTTTTTTTTTTTAAGTTTTCAAGTATTCTGCCAAGCTCAGCATACTATTTTTCCATATTTAGCAAATTCTCAAATAGCATTCCACCTGCGAGTTGGCTTTTGCGTACTCTAGTGGTTAACCAGGAATTCGTTGCTGGCCTTGAGCTGCAGGTTGCGGGTTCGACTTAATTGCTTGTGTGTGTTCGTGCACTCCTTCTTTTTCAGATGCAAGACCAATATTGTATGCGCCAAAGAAAGTTTTCAAAGTTATATTAACTTCTCCTCGGTGATGAAATAGCTGAAATCTGCTACTGACGAATTCAACCATCCTCAAAGAGCTATTCCGAAAAAAGTGTACGGCTGTTGAAAATAACAACATTTATGAATGTAAGATATAAAGGCGATTTAAATATATTTTACTTAGCTCTAGAAATAATTGATCGGAACTTCATTTCTAATTTCAGTATGAATAGGTACTGGTGGAGTGCCGCCTGGCAGTCGTGCCTGATGGTTATGTGCCGTTTGGGAGTTGTGCCTTTAATTCTCTCTGGAGCGCATTACAAGCTGCGGTTACAAATAACCAACTCGCTGTGACTGTGCTGCTGTATTCCTGGAAGCCTAGTACTAGCTTCATTTTGGATCGCACAAAGCTGTTGACCCCGCTCTTTATTTTCTTTTTCACTTTACGTGCGCTATGTTACGTTCAATAAGTATTCTTTTTCTTTTGTGGTTATGTCGTTTTTCAGGTTCTTCCAGTTGAGATTTTTTTAAAGTCGTGCCATTTCATACTCTATTGATTGAATGGGTAAGAATGATTTTCATTTGAGCCTTTTCAATGAGGATCAAAGCAAAATCCAGAAGTGTGGTAGGTAGGTCACGTGACTGTGAAATATGCATGAAGTGATATCACAATGAAGCTCTTTAAACGTCCAGTTTAGTCATTGTTTAAATAAAACATTAGTGACATTGTTTAAATAAAAAAATTGGTGATTACACCTAATACAGAAAACAAGATTTTTTTTTAAATTTGATTACAATTCAATATACTGTTATTGGAAAGTTTTAACTCAAACGTTTAATTTCAAATCATGTTCTCCGCTAGATTTTTAGCAAACAAGTAGACAAAATTTCTTACATATTTCTTCGAAATATCAATAATACCTAGAGATATTTGTAGTACTTTCTTTGAGAATAGTGACCCATAGCAATGCATTTGCTCTTGGCATAATTCAGAATTATAGCCTTAAAAGTTGTAGAGATTTATAGTTATTTTAACTAACAATTTAAAGTTTGAGTTTTTACCTTTCCTGTAAGCCTTCATTTCCCTAATTGTCAGTGCCAGAATAAATGTTGTAGCGCTCGGAAGGAAATGCAAATTTTGTACTTTGAAGGAAGTAGTTAAAAGCCGAGTTTCGGTAGGAAAAAGGAAGAGTTAGGCTTTAGCTGCCGTCTCTGCCGTAGATACGTTTGCTTATTGCTGGTTCAAGTGGTTTAAGAGCATTGATCTGCTGCCACTAGCTTCAAAGCAGGTTTAAGTTACAGGATCTCTCTGAGCCCTGTCGTCTAGGTCTATCGTTTGTTAATACCTTCAAATTTTAGTTTAATTACGTGAGTTTCAGTTACCGCCCAAGCAGAAGCGAAATTTGTTAGCGTCGAGTTGACGCATTGTAAATTTTAAGGAGTTAATAAAGGGTGCTTTAACCCTTCTCCTTTGTAGTTTCCTGCTTCAAATAGAAGTTAACCCACCTGGACTCTACAATGTTATAGAACCAATGATGTAAGCTCTACACTACGTAGCGAAAATTCATCATTTGTACCAAAAAAATAGAAAAAATCATGAAACACCTATGCCGTAAGTCAGTAATCAGTTTCAAGCTGATAAGCTAACTATCGAAGTACTTACTTTTTCTGATAAAGTCAAAAAATATCGTGAACTCCACACATTTCTACGCGAATAGTATGAACATTTTTAATTTTTATTTATTATTTTAAATAACTTTCAAGTGATGCGAAAAATCAGATTATCTACATTTTCAGTTTATTAATTTCTGAAAAGTATGATTTTAAATACTCCCAGCGTTTCGATTGCACATCTGTATAGAGTTCTGAACAGGGTTACTTCTAATTCCATGAAATATTTTAAATATTCATAAAAATAAATTATGAAAATGATATCAAATATATTACCCTGAAATAGAAGTAAACTCGTTAAGTTTTTTAAAAAAATATTTTACAAATGCTAAACATGCTCACCTTTTTTGATATGGCAAACATCTATACCTCTATGGGAGAATGTATTAAAACACCGGATAGTTGGCTGATACAAAATTAGAATGAAAGCAATAATGACTTTCTCTTTAAATAAGGCATGGTATTAAGTCTTCGGCTTTAAACCCGTTTTCTTGTGGAGTGTGGTTGTCAAGGATATTGCTCTTTGTACTTCAATTCCCCATTAAAACCTAGGATCTTTACAATAGCAGTGCCATAGATTTGGTCAATCGCGATATACTGGCACGTCTATGGGATGAAACAGATTATTACATAAATACCTACCACATCATAAATGTGAAACATTAAGTTTTTGCAAAATGCTTTTAAAATGTTAGAAAGTTTACCTATTTTAGAAAAATAAAATTTTTATTATAGTTTAATAGTTTAGGATTTTAAAATCCTTCACAGAATTATTAAAACCCTCTATTTTTACAACATATTATGCACTTGTATGGGATATTTTAATGTAGACAAATGTAATTTGAAATATTGCAGTTAACAACCGGTAAAGTCTCTCATGGAGGCACACATTTTTTAAGGATACGTGAGAATACTGGATTACAACTGATATATTGTACATGCCCGGTATTCTTCTACCTATATATGTATCTATACCCGTACATTGCGATGATTAATATTTCTCCCAGTAATGAAATAAGAAACATCATTTTTGACTGCAAAGCAAAATTTCATAACACAGAGAAAAAAATTCTTACATTGCAATTAAAGAACAAAAGTAACTCTTGAAAGTATGAAAGATTCCACCTCCTTCCATTATAACATCAAAACAAAATTACTGCTAAAGGTCAGTTACCTTTAGGAAAAATTGCTTTTTTATAACTTATTTTATGAAATCATAATATCTGATCTGATAATTAATTTATTATGAGAAATTAAAGCTCTGAGAATTACTAGAAACAAACCAGGCCCCAAAATTTACTACGCCTTTAATTCCATTACATATTTATTGACTCTATGAGGCATTATCTTACACATCTTTGCGCACCTCTGAGATATATCTATTACAAATAATAATCTTATAAGTATTACTGCAACAGTCAACATCTCTATTTACTTGGAATAACAGACTTAGAGACATTTATACAGAATTACCAATTTATAATGATTGGTTAGTTTTATGAAATGCTTGTCACTTGTTTAGAGTCCTGTTTCCCAATTGTTTGTTAAATGAAATTGATTTATTTGGGATACACATCTTAATTTCAAGCAAAACTCAGATCATTTTATGCAAAAAAAATTATCGTATCTTGAACTTTCTTGAACCAGATCACCATATAAAGTAAATAGTGCGAAGTTTATATAAAAGTTAGCCTTTCCACATCATCTGAGTGCATATTCTATTAGTTGTTATATATCACTTGATACCTACTTCTGTTTAGTAATATTCTCGAATATACTTTTAAGTAAACAAAATGAAGTCTTGACTGTTATCTATGTATCGAAGTCTGAAAGGTCAAAATATAATTTTCTTTCTCACGCCTAGATAAACAAATCATGGAATACGAAGAGCAATATTTTAGTGTATTTATAAGGCGGGTTTTTCCAAAAAATTAAACGTAAAAGGGGATTGTAGTTATGAATTTTACTTTTTTTTTCCACTTCGTAAACAAGCATTTTTTTAATTTTATACGAGCATTTTAAACATGAATGTATAATTCTGTAAGGTGAATTAAAAGTAGGCTCACACTCTACGGTTGTTGAGTTATATTACAAACATTAGAGTAAGATAGTGGAATAAGTCATATTAGGTTTTTTAAATGTGAAAAATATAACTTTAATTTAAGAATCTTTAATTTTGAGAAAATGCGCCTATTGCGTAAATCTCAAATTTTTGTTTGAATATATATACAGAAACATTTTATTAAAATAAAACTTTTATAACTGGACTGAACTGCATTGACTAATATTGCACTCGTAAAGATGAAAAAAGGAAGATTGCACAACAACAGCCAAGCCCTATCTGGAAGACAAATCTAAATTGTTGACTAAGATTTAGCAATCAACTCCGCTGCTCATTATATCTTCCGAGACGACGCTTCTAAAATTTTGCCACTTAAATTCTGCCAGTGCGCCTTCATTGCACTGGTTCTGGTGCCAGCTTGCAGAAAATATACTGGCATAAAAATTTTTAATGCATGTTGTAAGATTTTGCACTGTGTACTTTTAAGTTACAGTTGAATTTGAAGAATCTTAAAAACATGTAAGTGAATAATCGCTTGTGTTGGTGATATAGAAAACAACACGTAAGAAGGGTGAAATTACCTTTTATTATTCCAATAAGGTGTAACAGAATTCCGTCTTGGAGTTGTACAATAAAGCCGACACTCGGGCTTGAACTTAAGAGACTAAGAACTAAACTAATCTTAACTAAAAACGATGTAGCCGAAGCTATCAAACTTCTAACAGAGTTGGCCCCTTAACGCTAATATCGGCGAAGCTATCAAGGGCCTAAAGTACGGCCGAGAGTAATAATAGCTTAAGAGAGAGTAGCCTAAATAGCGGACACATGCTAGCCTGAATTACTGGTTCTCTCTGACTAAGACAGCAGAACTTCGCGGTTAAATACTACTCAAATTTGCATTCAAACGTGATTCTAAAAATACGTTCTGGCCGGAAGTTGTAAGATGAAATTAAGAAGCGTTAGGAAAGGAACTTTAACTCAAAATTTAACTATTAGAAAATCCTTACAAAGTAATGGATAAAATTAACGCCAAATAATTTTACAAAAATAAGTGCTGGGAGAAGCTAAAACCTTGACTTTTAATAATTAGCAAATAAAACCAGATCAACGCATTTCTGGAGTAATGTAAAAATTCTGTAAATAACAATACACTCCACTTTGTATTATTTAAAATTAAACTGGGAGTTGCTTCCAAATTGTTGCACTTCAAGACATATGAAAATATTGAGTATCGGAATCTGTAATGAAAATGTCGTTGGCAGCACATTCATCTTATGGTTTCACATCCTACATCACCATGCATACAGTACAGAAATAAAGAGTAGACTGTAAGCCATTTTTAAAATTTTTGGAATATTCTCTTGAAAATAGGATTTAATATGCTACGGAAAAATCACATGAAATTTTAAATATTACTATTTGAAAACTAATGGAAAAGTTTTATTCGCTTCTTTCGTTATCTACCAGTGAATGAATGACCCAAAAGAAGAAAATTGATAGCTGTTATCTAGAGTCAATTACCGAGGAAAGAATGAAAAGACTCCATCGACAACGCAATTTGTTCCTGTTCATAATGTAATAAAAGACTTTTTACCTTATTACGTTATCCATTAAGGCACTCCTATTTAGGCGAAAAATCCTCGTAACTTTCTACCATGCATAATTAACTTAACCATATTTTAATTATGCTGTTAAATCCAAATTCAGTAGACATACAAGGCTATACTCTTCCCAAAGCTCGAGCTTAGTGACTTAAATTGATTTACGGAAGCTGGAAAAACGAAGACACGATTACATTTAGTTCCTTCAGCGACTATGGAACAAGTGAGCCTACGACGTAACATGCTCAGATATTTCTGCTCGGAAAAAGCAAACCTCGTAGAACAGTAAACCGTGGTTAAATCTATTTAACTACAAAGCTACATCGATTTAATCATCTTGTGCTAAGACGAATTCTTATCTCCGCATTCAACAGAATTCTAAAATCCAAGAACATAGTGTGCAGGTAAAATTTTATTAAAAGGTTCATTAAAAGCGACGTCATTTAATACATCTAAATATTTAACAAAAGTTAATCATTTAACTTTTAGATTTTTAGCTACTTACCGTATTTTATACATTTAAAGACACACAACACACAGATAATTTTCAACACCGCATTAACCTGACTCCAGCTTTCGCAGCTTCTAACTTCCACTCCAACAGTTACAAAATCACTTATTAAAATGCAAACCGACACAAAGTAAGTGCCACAGGTGTGATATTTTTCTCTTTGATTGTCATAGAACTCTCTTAATCAACTGAAAATTCTCTCCTTATTTAAAATCAATTTCCATTTTGGTGATGATTGACAGAAAAATTAGGAGATATAGTTAATAATTAACATGAAAATAACGTATTAACTAAAACAAACCTTACAAAACTGCCATTTATATATTATGGTGTATGTATAGTAAAGTTATTATATTGGCTTTAGGGAGGATCAAATTATATTTTTCGTATGAAATACATTAAAATTAAAGAATATCTTGATTTATATGTATTACATTTCTTATAGTGTATAAAAACGTAAAATAAAGAGGTATTAATCAACCGTATTCATTATTAATGAAAATTATTTGAATGTAAAAGATCGGTGTTTTTTTCTAAAATTTCATTACTTGATTTTTACTTAATTCAAGTTCTAAATGAATTACATGTAATGTTCTTTGGCTTAGGATACTATAATGATGTATGTCGGTGGACTAACCTTAGCTGTAGCAGTTGAGCATTGTAATTTGCACAAGCGGATAGCTCTGAGAGTCTTACTAATCATAGGGGCTGGGGCAAGATGGTAAGCATAATAGTTCGTACAAATATTATTGAATTTTATTTTATTTTTATTGCTTCTTTTCAAATAAATAATGAAGTTATTTAAAAAATAATGGTGCAATTTTTAATAACTTATTATCCTTCAAATCATTGTTTTTTAAATAACTTCATTAATTAATTATAATATATTTAAAAATAATTATGTTAAGTGTAAATTCAGTCCCAGTGTAAACTGTAATACATTTAGTTTGTGTCTTCAAACTGCGGGTTTATCTAACATCAGACAATTTGTGTTGTTTGTATCTTTATTACAAGTAGTCATTGGTAAATAATAAATTGCTCAGAGGATTCTATCCGCTGTAAAAATTAATAAAAAATTCCTTATGTATGAGCGAATGTAATAATATGTTAAACTCACACGTAAACATTACAACTTTATTATTTATTCGCTTTTGATTATTTTATGGCGTCGTAATCGGGGCACAATATTACCGAGTTTCCGTGTTAAAAGAGCATTTAAATACTCCAACGAGAGATTATAATGTAAACTATTCATTCATACAATTCCATGATGGAAGCATGTTGCTGAAATATCGGCTTCATTCAGAATCACGTTCGGCTACGGATAGCAGCAAATTCGCGTATAACCATGCAGAAATTTGCAGAGATTTGTACAACATCACTTTAATCGACTACATATAAATCCAACTTGTCTCTCGACAAGGCGCAAGTTTAATTAATGGGATATTCCGTATACTGATATATCAGCATAAATTTCTTAATTCCTGCTATCTTATCTGAATACGTCATTCAGCTGAATATCATCGTGATAAGGTTCTAAGATTTAAGATTTATATAAACCTGAAACCGATGATAACTTTAATGAGAAACAATAAGCCAAAATTTATATGAACGTGAAACCGATGATAACTTGAACGAGAAAGAATAAGCCGTTAGGCAACAACTGAAACAAGGTTCTACATTTTTAACTGAAACACGGTTCTACTTGTTACAAGATATGTTTTTGGTTGTATTAATGTTGCTTAATCGTTTTAATAGTCAGTGGTGAGCTCAAGAAATCCACATCATTGTGAGAGCTCAAGAAATCCACATCATTGTGAAACTATTTTGTTAGCAATTACAACATCTCGATGACAATTTCTTTTGAAAGGCGGTCGCCGTACAGAGCTAACCCATGATGTAAAGATTTTGCTCAACCTATTGCATAATCCAGACCTTCAACTAACCGGCTGTCACATTTTCCTGTCGTTGCGAAGGACTTCGTTAACCAAGATAACATCAGCGATGTCCATGTGAATGAATGACGATGTGAATGAATGTCGATGTGAATGAATGTCGATGACTGTCAGGAATTTTCACTTTTAAGCCAGCTCGATTCCATATGGAAACGCTCAGAAATCTCTTGATTGTTAGAAATTTATGAATGCTGTCAGTCTTTCATTTTTGCTTAACTTTAGATTTTGCACCAAATAGTCGTTTATTGTGTGCACTTGAACATTCAGAGTTTTCCCAACAACTGAGCAATGCAAACCAATGTGATTCGTTTTGTCTTTAAATTAGATGAAAGCATAAAGTAGCATATTGGACAGATATCTGAATTTAAAACACGAGGACTTGTCTGAAATTATTATATGAATTTTTTGGAAAATTATTAGTTAAAATATAACATAAAGCTAAAATTTTGTGTACTCATTCATTTTCTTAGATTAATTATTACAACCAAATTTTTTTCCTATTCATTCATCAAATTAAGAGGATATTATTATAACTGAGCATGATAAATGATACTGTAAAACAACAAGCTCTTGAAGTCTGTAATTGAAAACAAATCAAACTTTGATAGAAATTTTGGTGCCCACTCGTATACTTTTACATACATGGAATTTTTTTTCGTCAAACCAACTTCAGTCTGAGATCATTTTGGCTTAATTTTAAATCTTGATATTGGTATATTTCTGTTTTTCATATATATACGGATGTGCCACTGATACCATAACTATTAGAATAACGTAATAATGATATTTTAACAATGCTATTTCCAATAACTACTGTAAAATATAACTAATATATTTTTTGCATCAAATTTTGTAGGCTGATGCTTGGGTTTATGATTACTACAATGTTTTTGTCCATGTGGATCAGCAACACTGCCACCACAGCCATGATGGTGCCGATTGTAGACGCTGTATTAAATGAGTTGGAAAAAGAAGAACGTGAGAAAGAACCTTTAAAAAGTGATGTGCCAGTTTCTCGTAAGTCTTATGGTCATGGAAAGGAAATTTGTTCTTAACTAGAATTAAATCTTATTTCTGATTACGGGGTATAGCACTTTACCTTAAAAAAAAATTAAAGCTATTATGCATTTTATTGTTGGATAGATTTATACAACACAGAAGATTCCAGAAAGAAATTTCGTTGAGTTGACTGAGAACTAAAAAACACACAGCTTTTTTTAATCTGTTTGATCCCATGCTTGTTGCGAGATTGTGATATATTATACCTGTAAAAATATTTTTGAAGTGTGATATTGGCCTTTTTATAAACCTATGCGAGACACTGGGGCCTCTTGCTGACTTTTTGGCAAGATGTTCTGCTTGTTCATTTCTATCATTCTCTTTCAAAAGTTGAAAGTTAAAACATTTAACGGCTTTTGAGATTAGGGTTCGAAAGATTCAAATCAGGGAACGAACATGACAATTCAGTTTTTCTTATCTCGAATCTTTCGCCAGATTCGTGAAATTAGAATACTTGATTGTTATATTCCCAGATAATATTATTATGGAAAATGCATCTTAGCTTATGAGCCTACTTCAGACAATCTCAGGAAATTTATACTAATTAGAAAAAATCGTTTTAAATAAGGTCTCATGCAAGTAAATAAATATCGTACACTCAGTGATCGAATATTTGATGTACTGAACTTAAATTAATTGCTAGGTATTGAAGACGCTACACTGAACAATAAATTTCTGATAAAGCTTGATGAGATGACAGGAACATTGATGTTTTTGATGATTTACATAATTATTTTTTTTTTCGTCTGCGGACATCCTAACAGCAAGCAGAAGCATCAGCCTGCCTGCATAATAGGGACTTTAAATTTGATATGCCCATAGAGGCGCACGCGCCTCTATGGGAGCGTATATACTGGCGCGTATTGTTAGCCAGAAAAATAATTACGATTCGAAATTCGGAATACAGATTTTACTGAATGCATGGCACTTTCAAATTCCCGTAAACGAAAATTAGATAAGTAGAAACGCTGTAATTCGGGGAACCATTTATACTTAAATCATACGTTAAATCTGAAATGTTATCATTTGCGGTGTCTAGGGAAGCCGAATGAGATACCGAACGAGCCGGGTTCGAATTCCGGAGAAGGCACGAATGTAAATTATCTGTCTCCTCATAAGAGGTAATGTTGGTTGCCTGTTAGCTGCCTCTATAAGAGGCGGGGGGGGGATCGACTCCCTTGAAGTTGGAAGGATGGATCTCCGGAACTAACAACTTAGTGGCAGGAGACCCGGGGTTCAAAATGGATCGTCTGAGAGTGGGTGCAGCTGCCGGGGCAGTGATGCGCTACATTATAACCTCTTCTGTCCCAGTCCAACATTGGCCTCCTTGTGGCCCCTGCCGGTAACCAGGGTCGCCTGGGCTGATGGCGTTGGACAACCATTCCTGGGGATTGACTGGGTGGAATTTCGGAACCGACCATTAATGGGAGGAGATCTGGGGTACTATTCAGACAACTGGCTAGCCTTGTGTCTAGAAAACCTCGATCTCTGGGGTAAATAATCAGTATTCACAGGACTAGAGCCATCGTATATTCGGTGGTTGTTTCAGGCTCGGCAGGGACCATATGGTATTGTCATTTTTGCCCCTTGGTTGTGGGGACATTATATGGTTGATGTCGAAGGTTGTCCGAGGTGGAATGGATTCCTGTCGGTCAATACAGGGGGACAGCCATATCAGTCTTTGTGACTTTTGTAACTTGTGTCTTTTAAACGATGGAAGAACTATGTACTTGACGTTTTTGACGTAACTATGATTCCACCACTGCATTTGAGTATTATTTTAAACGTGCTTAGTGAAACATTTTAAATTCCTCTGGATTGATAGAAGGTGGTGGCGCTCCCTCGGATTGTCTCTGGTGGTTGGGGCGCTTATAAACCGAGTAAGGGAGACTTAGAGTCACCCAGGGCAGGCAACTCTCTCCACTGGTTCACTGCCTCCATAAGAAGATGACCACCACTTCCGGTCTTAGTAGTGGAGAAAGATTAATAATGGCTAGTGCCCGCCCTAAAAAGAAAAAAAAAATATTTTTCTGCATGCAACTCAGTGGAAAGGCATATTTATCAAAAAATAAATAGATCCAAATTGTAATCAAAAGAATATTTTAATATTCAATTTGGATTTAAACTAAAAGAATTCGTATGACAGATAAAAAAAACCAGCTTACAGGAAACACTTTTGTATGAGAACAGGAATGATAATCGTTGATGCATATTTTATATGGATCATTTGATGATAATTTAACCTTGCTGCAGTCATTTCACTTTATTGTTTTCATTCTGATGTGATGATAAAGAAAGTTTATGAAAACGGGAAAAAAATTTTAATATATTTATTTTTTGACTTTTAGTGTTGTCAGTGCCATCTGGCCTATCACCTTCAGTATGGGGTCTAGAATCAAACAAGAACCACTATCAAATTAACATGCAGCTTTCAAAGTAAGTATTAGATTTTTAAAAAAATAACCAACTACTTCTAATTCTGATCTTTTCAATATGACAAAGATACAGTTTCAACAACAGAAATTTGCTTTTAACGAAGTTACATAATTTAAACTGTTTTGCAGTGGCAGTAACTCAAGCCCAGAAAAAGATTATAAACAGCTGAGAGATTCTCTGCTTTTGAGCATTGCATATGCAGCTAACTGTGGAGGCACGGGTACAGTGATTGGATCGGGTCCCAACCTTGTGCTCAAAGGACTCATGGAAGAGTAAAATCTGTCTTATTATATATATTTATTTATGTCTAATTGTATTATTTCTTGGCTATGGTCCAAAAGAAACGAACTTAACTATAAACTTGTGAAGAATTGTCACACTCTCCCGTGCATGCGTCCGTGTTGTAACATTTACCACTTGGAGAAAAGATTCAATCAATACCTATAAATAGCGTAAATTACATCTGCTTTTTAAGATTATTTTTAAAAACGCCTGAAAAGTACACATCATTTCATATAAGAAAAGGCAAAAGTCATGCGAATTACTTTCTTTAATCTATTCATTCCTGTTGCTTTGTATTTATTTATTTAATTATAACAAAGCACTCGAAGGCTATCAGCCTAAGGAGAGGGATGCTATCGTGGAGGACTTTCCAAGAGAAACTGGCTCGTATACACGTTAGAAACCAAGAAATTGCCTATGCAACCAGCCCGTTCGCCGGGATTCGAACCCCGGGCCGATCTACCAGTGCTTAGTGACTTTATCCTCGGCCGTTGGTGGGCCTCATTTCCTTTGAATTATTCATATTGAAGTTCGAGTAGACCAATTAATTTTCGTCGGGATATAATATCAGGAAATATCAGTTATGAAAACTTTTTCATCCGTTGAAGATGGAATGTACATAGATTCCTGCATACAGAAATGTTTCAATTGCATAAAATAAACGTAGCCATAAAAATGCAAGCATTACTTATTATTTTAATATTAGCTACATTTACAGATATTAAAGTTTTGATACTATAAAAAAATTTGAAAATTTTGAAGGTCGTTTGAGCAAAGTGAATTCAGAAATTAATCTTTTTAATTCAGATAAAGGTGAATTACATATCCAATCATAAATAATTATATCGTAAGAGATTTTGAGTTTAGATTTCGGAACTAAATATATAATATATCCTTGCTTAAAATAAACTCTGTTTCAGGTTGTATCCTAAATCCACCGAATTAACATTTGCATCCTGGTTGATGTATAACGCACCTGTCATGGTAATTTGTGTCTTCATCTGCTGGATTGGACTTCAGTTCTTCTACCTCCCTTGCTGGTGAGCAAAAGAAGTTTATGCAGATAAATGCAATGTTTCAATTTTTCTTAATTATTATAACATGTACACGAACAATCAGTTAATACATATATGAACAAAATGAACTATATAAAAGTTGTTTATATTATTAATGTAATTCCACAAGCTCAGCTCTGTATTAATTTTAACTTTCTACAATAATATCAGTGCAAACAAACATGTTTATTTCAAAACAACTTAAACTGGCTGCACATATTATGATCTTAATGTTTAAATGAATTTAACATCGACTTACAATACTAGAAACTATCTTTTATTTAAATATTAGGGTTGGTTTAAAGAAATGAAAAACATTAAGCAAATTAATGAAGCCACTTCCCTTTTGTCGTCTTAAAATTTTAAAACACTTCAAAATTAAATTTCGATAGTATACGTCTCTGAAAAATAGCTTTCATTTTCTTTTCTTTTTATTTTTCAGTAGTTCTAAAGAAGAAAAGAAAACTGAAGTAGCTGCTAAAAATGCAGTACTGAAGAGTTATCGAGAACTCGGGGATATTACGTAAGTAAAAATGTTTAGTTATATAATCTATTATACTACTATTACGAAAAATTTTTATGTTTAATGTTTCGCTAGGAATATTTTGTTTAGATGAATTAAATACAAGTATCTCCTTCTCTTAAAGCCCATCAGTGGATGAGGGGATATGGTAGCTAAATACTTTATTTTACTCCATCAGTAAGGCAGCTGGTCAACTTGGAAAGAAGGCTAATCAGTCCATTTAAGATTTACCAGTAATTCTAAATACTTCACTCATCCAAAGTACACTGGTAATTCGTTCTACATTCGATTCCCCAGTGGGCGAGCTGCTGCGGGATCTTTGCAGTGTTTCCAACATGTAGCACTAATAAGAGCAGTTTTGTCTTAGAAATACTTTTAACTTTCCAATGACAAATAAATCTCGCCTACTTTGACATAATGAATTAAATTACCAATTTTCTCTTAATATTAGCATGTGTATACAATTTTGTTTAGATTCAGATATTTGATCTGCTTTACAAACTTCAACTTAAGAATAACAGTAAAAGCAGTTACTTCATTTGGGCTAAACAATCATGGAAATCATTTTTGTCACATGGGATTTTGCGTAAGATACGTATTTATTTTTGTATACATTTTACTAAAGTCAAGTTTTTTAGATATAATTTACTTCCATATCAAAGGAAAAGTGTCAGTTTTAAAAATCAATAAATACATAAAATGCTGCTTTCTTGTTACTCCCATTTTTTAATATTTATATACAGGTGTGGATCAAAGTAGAAAATTCATAGTATCAATAAATAGATAAAATGCTGCTTTCTTGTTACTCCCATTTTTTAATATTTATATGCAGGTGTGGATCAAAGTAGAAAATTCATAGTAACTAGTAAAATGTTTACCGAAATGAAATATCCATACATATCCTGAAATCTCACTAAGAAAATTATTATTATGATTTTACATTAAAGAAAAGAACGGAAAGCTAAGGATATAAATCTTCATCAGCTATATTAAATGACTAGAAAAACTGTAATAGTAAGAAATAGCTCCCTAGCAAATTAAAAGTCGCTAATTTTCTGAATGGTAAAAAATAATAAAACGGAGATATGAGACAAAATGTAAGGAATATTTCAATTATGTTTCTGAAAAATAATAATGAGCAAAATTTGCTCATAAAATGAACTTGTAATCTTTTGTCTATATCTCATTATTCATCTGCAACAGTGCATGATTCATTAAAATGTTCTGTGTTTATTACGATAATTCATTATACACGTGATGCCAGATTTTAGGCAAGATAGGAAGGAAAAACCTTGTTTTGTTTGGAACACGCTGTAACAATCACACCAAAATTCTGTGTCATTCCCGTTTCCAAAGTCGAGGTTTGACCCACGATTTACGTCATAAGTTGCGACATCAGTGGCCTTTTGTTTTTAATTGCTGCAGTTTCAATTCATGTTGGATACGAATTGTAACAATTCCATTCAAGATTTACGTCATTCTACTGTTTTTATATTCTAGGTTTGCCTTATGTTTCACGCCATAAGGATGGGAAGATCTCTGGCAACATCAAATTTTAATGAAAACAGCTTAAACGCGCACAACAACCTACATTTTGAATTTCCCAGAAGTAGCCCTCTGTCGTAGTTAGCGAGGGTCGGGTATTAATCAGTAGTGGGATGCCGTGAAGAAAATTTGAGTGAAGATGGTGAAGTGCCACCTTCAAATGATGCTAAATGTTGCAGATAAATAAAAATAAAAAAGCATTAGCTGAATGCGTATGCCTTGTTTTGCCATAGTTTATGATTCTGAGTTGAAATTACAGATCTTTGATTATACACTGCGAGCAATTTTGGAAATAAATTGTTTGACGGTCCAATTTTTAAGTCGTATTTAATATGCGAAGATTCAAACTGGTATTAAAATATAAAGATTTAAATTGCTAAGCAATTTATTTGTACTTTTAAAAGAAATAAAAATCCTTTAAAGTGTTTCTTTTTTTTAAAAGAAATTGTTTTATTCTAAATTTGATTACAAAATTCAGTTCAATTTTAATTTCCAGTAATTCCTTCATTCAAAGTTAAAAAAAAATGATTTTATTTTTTGTATTGTCTTACTTCTTCATATTCTTATGTTTCTTAAATTTAGACTAAAGTTTTCTCCTTCTTACGTTTTCCCGAAATGTGAAGGAACAAAACCAAAGTTTTTATTAATTTAGCACATCAGTAAAAAGGAATAATATTAAAAATTATTAGTATTAATCAAAATCATAAATATTAGAAATACGAATAATATGAGTGCCGTAGGAAAGCTGTAGTCCACAAAATTCCTTCTCACTGTGGAATCCCTGATAACGAGACTGTAGATGCCCTTGCAAAGAAGGGCACACACATCCTTACAGCAAGATCTAGCAGAGCCACTTACCGATCTATAGTATCCATTTCATGTTGCAGAATTCTGAATAACTGTAAGATATTTCTGAGAAGATTTCAAGCAAGGGTGGCTACTCAGCAAACTACTACACTACCGTAAGGTGAAGCAAGCAACTGGTGGGCTGCCTTTCGTTTGACTACCAGATGCAACAGCTTTTCGACCCCCCTTTTTTTTTTCGATTTGGAATTACTTTAGCTTGTCGCACCTATTAACACCTTCATAATACTTCTTAGATTGCCTTATCTGGCATTACTCTTTACTCACGGTATTGGTAAGCGCGGACCTTCCTCTTCGTATCTGTCTAGAGCCTTTCTGCATTTGAAATAAGAAGATTTACAGCAGTGGAAGGAAAGAAATATGTTCTTTCTTTCTAGTAGTTATAATATTAATAATAAGAACCAATGCATTCCGAAATCAGTATCTTGTCACTAGACCATTAAAGACTATATAAAGGGCCAAGCATTCTCTCTTCCTCACATGAGAAGAAAGTCTTGTCCGTTGCGTTATATTCGTATTCTGTTGGAAACTATAAATATGATAACTTACGAATTATTTACAAACAAAGCGTTAATTTATCATATGTCTCCAAGTATCATATGTCAACAATCACAGTTTCAAAATAAGGACAGCGTAGTTGAGTGGAGAAAATAGAGTGATTAAGAATGATATGACAGATTATTGCTTTAAAAGATTCTAGTTCGCTTAAGGAAGTTTAGATAACAAATTCAGCTCCAGATGCCAAAATAGAATATATTACAGACTAGAAGATGGCCAATTTCTGTGTACATAAGAGTTCGTATTGAAGAACTGCTTGGTTTTGTTTGTTTGTTTGTGTAATTATGGCAAAGCCTCGAGGGCTATCTGCCTAAGGGGAGGCATGCTTCGTGGAGGACTTTCTAAGGGAAACTGGCTCGTATACACGTTACACATGGGGAAAAGCACGAAAACGCCCATGCAGCCAGCTCGTTCGCGGGATTCGAACCTCGGACCGAACTACCAGTCTGTTGGGCCCGAAGAACTGCTTGGAATAATAATAAACATAAGCTATAAGGAAATATTTTTCAGATTATCTTCTTAAATATGTTTCAGATAGAAAAACACCAAGCTCCAGTGACAGGCCAGACAAGAAATTCAAAAACAATGTAAATTCATTTTTCAATCCATTATGCGTGTATCTTAATGTTTAAGATGCAATGCAAGTCTAAGAGAACACTGTAGACGCTCATATGAAGTAACAAGTTCGCCAAGTTAACACCGATTGAAATTGTTGACAGTTTTAATACGTTCTGAAAATAAGTTCTACTTGGTCAAAATATGAATTATACGCATCAGGTATCCTTGGTTAGTAATAATAATAGCAAAAATACAAATCAAAGTAATTCATTTTCTTAACTTTGCCATGGAGAAGGATATCACGGGTTGCATATGGCCCTCCTGTTTTAATATGGCCATCTCTGATAAAGATTATTACTAGAATAATTTTCTTTTAACACCCGACGTTGGGATTAAACATACATGATATGGCCGCAGTTGAAAAATGTCTTCAAATATTTTACTAAAGTTAAAAATGATGACTGATTCATCAAAAATTCAGCAGAACTAAATGCTCAAAATTTTAACAGCGGCTTTCATATACTTGTTTTATATATATACCAGTATTATTATGAGAAAGTATGCATTATCGAAACAAAGCTGTTCGTTGTCATCCTCCTTATTATAAAGTAATTATAATTCAAATTAATCAAATTAATTTATTAATTCAAATTATCAATTGCACTTCAATTAAAATGAGTATTCAATATTTGAATGAGAAACATACTGATACAAAGGATTTTAATTTTTTCCCCCTCGCACTGACAGTTTTCTTTGTATTATTTTTTTAATAAGAAAAAATTCGAATACATCATAGAAAAAATGTTGTGTATTTTTAAGAAAATAATACATTTTCCTAAAAATAAGAAACATATTAATTGATAATTTATCTTATTAATAATTCTTGTGTCTCTTTTCATAGCCTTTTAAATATGATAAAATTACGTCAAGGTTTTAAGTGAGAGATTGGATGCAGATGAATAACTTCTTGTAGTAATGCATTGTTTTATTTCTTTTTTTCCAGTTTTCACGAAACTGCAGTAGCTTTATTATTTATTTCTGTCGTCCTTTTATGGTTCCTGCGTGATCCCCAGTTTATAGATGGTTGGTCAACTTTCATGAAAAATGGAAAGTGAGTTTTACGTTTTGATATCCTTTTAAAATAGGCATTACTTTTCTATAAACTATAATTCCGAATACGTGGTTGGAAGCCATTTCAGCGGTGCACTCACTATATAAAATACAACTTTTAGATTAGCTATAAAAGACAAGTAATATTATCGTTAAAATTATACGATATGAAGTAATATAGCATAATGAGACAGCAGAGAATGCTATTATTAAAATTTTATTATTACAAATTTTGCCTATAAAACGTTAAATTTCATGTTTTCGGAATTGTTATTAGGCTATTCATTTTAAATAAAATATTTGTTTTTAATGAAGAAATTTTTATTTGCAAATTAGTCTTATGATAGAAGATGAAAAATATAGTTAATGGAAAAAGTATAAGTATGTTATTTACGATTCTTACATTTAATTCAATCAGAAAAATGTTCCTTTTCTCTGATGGAGTCATTATGAATTTGAAAGAGATTACAGTTTTGAAAAATAAACATATTTCTCTGTCTTTAAATATCTAGTTTCTCAAAGGTTTCTCCAAAATTATTAGATGAAGATACAAAATGCCAACAGCTGAAAATTTGCCTCATGGTTAAGCCTCATAACTATCGTTCTTTCTACGAATACGTTTCTACGAATACGTAGATAGATTCAAAAGTTTTCGGTTTGATATATTTTTAAAAGAAATAAAGAAAATTTTAATAATTTATTTTTCAAGCTGCTTCACCTCGTTTACCTCAGATACTTTTCTCTTCGTTTAAAGAGCAACTTTACGGCCTTGAGAAAGTAATCTGAAGGGGATTTGCTCTGAAAATTTTCCAATACTGCCCTTTTCACGCCATCATCGTCATTAAATCTCCACGAGCATCATATTTCAATTTGAAGAGCTGATAACAAATCACTTGAAGTTAAACCTCAGCTATTGGAGGGGGGGAAGGTAATTTCCTTAAACCCACATTGCTGTTCTTAAATGCATTGACGAATGCACGCTGTTTCCGAAATGTTAAAAATGTCGCAGCACCCGTTTGTTATGACTTTATTCAAGTGAAGATATTCACGTAAAAAACGCAAAACAGTTATTTTAAGTAGAATCAATCTTCCTATTATCTTCTTGACTTTTAATCGCTCATCAATCAATTTTTTTTTTTTTTTTTTTTTTTTTTTGAGATTCTTTGCCCTTGCGAATTTGTTTTGCCCATTTTTTCACTGTAGAGTAGGATATACATATGATCTAAGCATCGTTTTATTTCTTTGGCATTAAGACGTTCTTCAATCAAAAATTGAATCAGATAACAATACTCAGTTTTAAACATGTCGATAAAAAGTAGTAAATCATTTCATTCGGTAATCGGTCAAATGTTCACTAAAGAAACTTTCAAGTTTATTCATTTAGTATTGTCACTTCAAGATGAATTGATTACCGAACGATTTTTTATACGTGAGGGTGAAACTTGCGGATCTACTTGAGTATTCCTTAGTATCTTATGATGAATTTGATTATGGCGTTCGAGCCAGATTCTAGAAGCGGTAACTTTTCTAGAATTTAGGGAGGCACTGGGCGGCAGAATTTAGGAGCCGCTGAGATGGTACTGAGCGGCAAACAACCCAGAGATGGCTAGTTCGCACTATAACTGTTCCCATCTTGCAAGTCAGTGGCATGTTTCTGCCTGAGCGTTAGTACGTCTGCTGCAACTATTCGGTAAACATACCAAGCTATAACTCTTAGTTTTCAAGTTACTTTATGTTTTTCACTTAAGTGTTTTGTAAATTCATTAATAATGAATTTTAGGATATTTAATGAGAAGTATCAAACAATTAAGAAAATTATTAGGATCATCGCGGAGACGAAAAAAGAGATCGTTCAAAAGTATGAAGAGACCATACGTTGTTGCCATATTATATGTCGAGTGCAATGATGTCTACGACTGTGAAAACCAAAGACTTCATTACATCGGGTAACGTTGCGAATGGGGTGAAATCGATTACCATACAAAGACCAGAGACGTTAGAGCATTTTGAAAAATTGCTTTTGATCTGGCTACGAGAAAGATATTTATGTATAGTCTCATGTGCGGTGCTCGATTTATAACGCTCACCGTATCTTGTGCTATAGACTAATGTGCAGGATTAAGAGAATTTGCACATTCTGTCAAATTTCTGAAAAACTAATGGACAGATTTTAAGGAAATTTGGTATGAATGAATATTTACAACAGAGAAGGAGATGTATCATTGTAAAGTCATTTTATGTACGCATGATTACCAGTAAAGCTCATCGTGCAGGTATGTCCAGAATCCACGATATGATATTGAACTGAAAATGAGTTTAATGGGGGGGGGTATGATTCCCTCTTACAGCCAGATAGGTCGCGCAGTGTGATGGTCAGGAGGCAGTTAAAGCGTCCCTGCAACAATCGTTCCCAGTGCTGCAGCAAGGCAATTTCCAACTTCGGAATGACTCTCAGAGGGGGATGGCGAGATGAAATTGCCCTCCTAAGAGCGCCCCGGAAATGATCCATAAGGTTAAAGTCAGGAGATCTAGCTGGCCAATACATGCGGAGAATATCCTCACTTTCTAGGTAATCGCCGAGCAGCTTAGACCAATATGGACAAGCTTTGTCGTTCACTAACAGGAACCCACGCTCAACAGTATCCCTTAAAAAAATACCCTAAATGTAGGAATCTAAGATCTCCTCTCTATACCTCATAGCAATTAGCTAACCTTTGTCAAACACATGCAGGGCTGGGCGGCCGTCCAACACAATGCCTGTCCGAGGCCATTACACTTATATCATCGTAATAATCCTTTTACCTGATGAGGTAGAGACGATATCGTACTCCAGGCTTTTTCCAGATACAGGTACGCCAGGAATTAGTGTCCAGGGTGAATAGTGTCTGTCTTAACTCATCTGTAAAGAAGATTTTCCTCCAGGGAAGTCTGTTTCATTCTGCATGATGCTAAACGCACTCTCTTGCGTGCTGCAGTGATTGAGATGCAAACTGCCGATCTTGTAGCATACAGGTCCTACCTCATGAACCTCCGGGCAATTGTAGACCTAGAAACTCCGTTTCCAGTGGCAGCATACAGCTCACATGAGAAGCAGTAACAGTCCTGTGTCGCTGCGCTGAAAGTGCCAAATAATGATCGTCATTTGTCGTTACGGGATCTTAATTGACCTTGTCCAGGTTTTTTCGATATGGCTTCAATGTTCTGCAACGTTTTCCAAAATCTGCAGTCGACAATGGATGTTACATTGAACTCAATAGTCACCTGCGCCTGTGATTGGTTTGCCTCCAGTCTACCGACAATTCTCCATATCATTCCGTCATCCATATGCTCACGACTACTCATTTTACCTAATACTTTATAAAATTTTCCCAATTCTTGCAAGAAACATGACGAATATCGTGAAGGAATGCGAACACACAAATCACCGAAAACCCCTAACGCGATTATATCCTTTCCACAATTACTGCTCCGCAGAGCGGCGCATGTGCGCTTACCTATTCGACTCCAAATAACTGCCTATTTAGGTTTAGTACTTTTCGTAAAAATAGACTTAATTTGCCAATTATTTTAATTTTGCACACAAGTATATTTCACCCACTATATCTGTATTGTTAGTATTAAGCAGTGTTACAAAAACAACAGGATTTTTTTTATAAGAACAGATTAATTATTTGCCTTTTATTTCTTATTGGAAATTTTCGCTTTGTATACGTCCAAGGATCTAGAAATGATTAATGGCGTGTACCGAGGTATCACTGTATGATATTAACCAGCATCAATAATCATTTGAGGGGACAAGAGATGTTAATTATTTTTTTTATCAAACTCTACAATAGTTTAGAATTATATGCACTATATATACCCAGTGTGACATGCATTTTCAATTTCATACCCATAGAATATATATTTGAAAAATAGTGCAGTTTTATATTTTTATGCTTAAATTCGGACTGCCTCTTTCACATCAAATTATATAATACACTGTTTTACTTTATGTAACGAATTTATATCAAATTCCAAACAAATTAGTGCATGTATTTAATAAGAGTATGGAAGTACCATTGAGAAATAATTTATTGGCTATATTTTAAACATATTTTCAACATTTACAGTTCACTATTTAACAAAAAGCTTGGTAACTCCAACAAAAAAAATCAGTTCTAATAAATATGCACAGATTTCTTAAAAATGAATTTAGGAAGCACAAGAAGTGCTATGAATACAAGTAAACATATAGATCATTATTTTTTTTGGAAAGTATTAGCGTCGTAGGTATGAAATTGTACATAAATACATAAATGTAAGTATATGCATCATACATGCATTTTTTAAAGATTTTAGAATTCGAACAAAAAAACAGTGAATTAATTTCTACAGCACGTGACATTTTGATACACTATTTTTTGTTACTAATGTACTATTCTCTGTTACAGGATTACGTTTTATTCTAACTAATTATAACAGATTATTAATATTCTAACTTTTCAACCACTACTAGTGAAATAAATGGCCTTAATTAAATTAATAATAAAGCAACAAATGAAATCAAATAATTGTTAGTATTACTAATATTATGTTACGATCTATGTATAGCGGATATAATGGGCTTATACTTCTTACTAGAGGATTTAGAAATTTTTTAAACACTATATCCACATTTTCTTTTCTTTCTACAGGAACATCCGAGATGCCACGCCTGTGATAGGAATATGCGTCTTATTATTTATTATTCCAGCCAGGCCTTCATTAACAGAGCACAGCCCACCGTTATTGGACTGGAGATCAGCACAGAGAAAAATACCTTGGGGTGTGCTTTTACTTTTAGGTAGCGGTTTTGTAGTTGCTGATGCTGCAAAAGTAAGCAAACGTGTGTTTATTAGAATATGTTGTTTTTTTTTCCAGTGGATAATAAGGAATTATGCAATGCAATAATCTGTAGAAATAAAATAGAACATTACAATTCAGTTTTAATATTTGTTTTGAAATAATATTACTGAACAAATGGAGTACGCATAAACATAACCCTATATTTTTTATTACTGGATCAACTTTGAACATGAATTTGCCTCTAATTTAAAAATAAAATTAAATTTGTTACTTTATTTTATGAAATTACTGTATTTAAAAATGAAACTATTTTACAACCACTTTTAGTAGTGTATAAGTTTATGGCATCAGATAAAACAATCTCAAAGATAATTTAAAACTGTTGACCAATGTGTTAAAAGTTCATATTACTTATAATTTTATTTAGTATTTTAACTTTGAATCACACATTGGCAACATAGGAAAACTTATCTGAGAGCAAAATATGTTGAAAATTTAATAATAAATAAATGTCTGAAATAGTTCAGATTTTAACGGTCGCCAAAAGTGTTCGTTTTCTTACGTTCACTGAGCTCGCAGTCTACCAATCAGCTGAAATTGTATATTTGAAATTCTTACTTTTACACACAGTTTTAAATGGTGTATGATAATCTACTAACGTCTGGGCAAAAACTCGGCCAAACATCCTTAAATCTTTAAACTATCAACTGTTGCAATCCTTCGTGGTTAATTTTTTCAAACTTATACATTTTGATATTCATTATTCAATGAGAAATAAATTTTACAGCTTTATTTAAGTCTCTTATCAAGAAATTTGTTAATTTTTTATATATATTTATATACAGAAATCACATTTATCTGTCTGGCTCAGCGCACAATTATCTTACATGAATTTCTTATCACCAGACGTTATAGTCATCATCCTAACCTTCCTGGCATCTGTACTCACCGAAGTTATTAGCAATATGTCTATGGCTACCATTATGCTACCCGTGGTCAGTGAAATGGTAAGTTTCCAGTTAGAAATGTTCTATATTCTGTTAATAATTAACGCATACAAAACTAATAAGATGAAATATATTTTTAGCTATCGATTATATTTTGAAGAGTTTACCAAGTACTTATTAACATACAGACTTTATAGGTAACATGAATATAATTTTCTGAAATAAAATTAAATCTACTTGACATAGGTAACTTCCATTACCATGGCCACTGCTCACTAAAAAAGGTATTCAAAATGACTTAATAAAAATTTAGCAGTATATAGCAGCCATTATGTCAATAAGTATATGTATTATTGTATTAAATGTATATTAATGTAAAGCACATTGATATTTATATATTTTAAGTAAATCCTAGGTATGAATACCAAATTAACTTTGAATAATTTGAAAAAAAAATTAATCCTCATTTTGTATCATTTTTAGGTAATAAATGATGCTCATTTCGTATTAAAGGACTGCGCTTCGTTACTGTATTTAATTAAACTTGAACCTTCTCCAGAAGCAAAATTTATTCTTCACTGTGCTACTAATTTGAACTCGGTGAAATGAAACAACGAGTACTTATGAGAGAGATTTATTGACAAAACAGAAGCTTGAATATGCTTATGATGGAGCTTGAATATTGTTACCTTATTTAATTCAACTTGAATGCATTTCGTAGAATATTTTTTAATGCAAAAGGAAATCCTCACTTCTTTGAAATACTTCTTAGTCGAATACTTGTAATGTTTCAATTCTGAAAGATTTCGATATATATTTTATCAAATTACTACATTCAAATAAAATCCCAGATTTGGCAGCTGCTAGATAGATATCTTGTACTGCACAAATATTGAATCAAATTTTCACCTGAAAAAAAAAATAATAAAAAAATAAATAAATGGGAAAAAACATGAAATAAGTAGCTACTTCAAATTTTGGTATGTATAATGTGAAAAGCTATCGTTTGGCTTCCTCTGGCGACAACAACATTTGGCTTTCTTTGACAACTTTAGTATTGTTGTTTTCTTTGGTTGTTGAACTTGACGATAGGCACTGAACCAATGATTTGTTACGTTTTTATACTGATGTCAAATATGTATGTACTAATCTTTGATCATTTTTCTAACATATTACTGTTTTATTTACCATACTTTGTTCTTTTTCACAGAATATAATCAATGTTAGCTCCTTGCTTTAACGATGAAAGAACGTATTGTCTCTCGTATATATTATTCGATTAACACATTCCAACTCGCAGTTCTCACAGTTTGTCTACTTTTATCAATATTATCCTTCCATTAAATGCTGGCCCACTATCGATTCCAGGGGTATCCTGAGAGTTTGTCCTGGGTTCAATTTCAAGCGAATGGACTTTCTACATGGGTATTCGTTGTTTTCCTCATGTGTAACGTGGATACGAGTCTTCCTTAGAATGTCCTCTACGAAGGCATCCTTCCCTTAGGCACATAGCCCTAATGTTCTTTGTCATAATCAAATAAATCAAAATCAATAATTGAATGCTGTCTTTCAAGATATACAACTTCATTTGACGAAACATTGACAAGTTCGCGGTACTTCTTGCTAAAGTAATCAGAGCTGAAGTCTCTGGTGAAATTTCAAACTTCAGCGTTACAAAATATACGAGTAAATTTACTAGGTTCAGGCCACTAAATGCGATGGCCGTATTGATAAGGAAGGATTCTCGGATGCTATGTCGTCATCTTAAAAAAACCATGGACCTTATAAGAAATAGACTAACCCAGTGGACGGGGTGCGCGTCAACGACATGTCCGAAAGAAAGAGTAGGGACGATCTGGTTTACTTTAACACTGGAACCTATGGCGTTTGTATCACGTAACTGTTTTTAATTATTAAGTGTGATACATTGTATAGTGATGAGATTATGAAAGTCGCATTTTTTTTTCAAATAGGATTTAATACATCTCATTAAAGCACTTTTTACTGCATTTCACGCATTTTTTTCACGCGTAATTCTTGTACAAACATTTTTACTTGGGTAAAACGGTAAAAACTCTAAGCACAATATTTATGAAATTAATTTTGTGTAAAAATAAAGTAAAATTAAATAAGATTGATAGTACGTGACGCTTTGAGATAAATAAGGTAAAATTAAGCAAGATCTGATAATTTTTTAAAAAATTTAATGAGCATTTTCAGGCAGTGATTTTCAAAACTATAATAACATTACAAAACGATTATTTATTTGATTATAATCATTAAATTATTAACATTAAAGAATATTTGGTAATTTATTATTATTTATTTTAGTAAGTAATTATAAAATTCGGAGCTATAAAATTTTCTGAGTGTAATGAAGGAAGAAAAAAAGGATAAAATAAAATCTAAAAGCACTCAGATTTTATACTACGCCGAAAAGGAACCTTTTTTTTAACGTTTTGTGCGTTACCTATATTTATTGAATAACAAATTCTTCGCCCGCAAACCGCATACATTTGAAAACAGTATATCTTTAGAATTTCCGGCCTGGAGATAAAAATGTTATTTTCTGTGCAATGTTACCATTTCTCTTCTTGAACTCGTTGAGTTTGTTAATCAAAAATTTGTTAAAGTTTTACAAAATATGAAATAGATTAAAACAAATTCGAAATTCGGCCGTCCAGATGCCCATGTTCGTGTGGAGGATTACATTATTCAAAATTTGATGGCTCTATACTACCGTCGTTTTTGTCACAGTGCGAGAAACATACATGTATTCATGCAGTTTCTTCATTATTTAATTTCTTTAAATATAAAATATAACGGCAAAATTTGCTTTACATACATAATATTTTGACACAATTTGCAATTGCAAGGAGACACGGACATTTACAGTGAAACAGCGCAAAATGCCGCTTCGAGCTAATAAATTAAATTAACAGTAAATAAAAAAAAATCTTATTCAAAACTAAAAATAAATTAAAAATATATTCGCTATAAAATACAAGCAAAATTAATTATTGCGGTTAAATACAATTTTAATATTAGAATTAAACGTATACAAATTAAGGAGTCAAAAGTGTTTATCACTATGATGTATTATGAAATATAATTGAAATAAAATTCCTTTATAAGAATAGTGCTATAATACTCATCTATAATTTTAAAAAAGCAGCACAATTTAGAATTTTAAACAAAACTTTCAAAAATTCGTTTTTAAATATTTTAGTATTTTTTACTTATTTACACCAATAAAAAGCATAAAAATTGCAACAACAAAAAAAATTGCTTGTTTGAAATTTTCTATTATTTCAGATTTAAAATATTATTTTCTAAAAGAAGTAGTTACAAATTTCCTTACAGCATAGGAAAAGCTAAAAAAATATCCAGCCCTGAAAGCATGCAATAGCTTTATAATTATTTGGAATGCTAATTATGCTTGATAAATATGCTAAATTTTTAAACAGCAATCTCAGTTTTAAAAATAAAAATATGGAGAAATTCTAATTTGTGAAATGAGGCGCTACAAGCAGCTTTTTCTTGACAATTATACACGCTGCAATAGGCCACCACTGTTAAATTTCTGCAAGTCGTCCCTATTCCTCCAGATGTGATCAAGGTGACAGCCGAAAACGCGTCGGACGAGAGAAAAAAACCATTTGGGTTGGTCTATTTCTTATAAGGTCCATGAAAAAAACTCGATGACTTCCGTTTCATTGCTGAGTACAACCCACAGAGTGGGCATTGTAAAGAAATACAATAAAAATGTATTGCAAATATGTATATCTGCAAAATCTCATCCAGATGCTATAATTAAATCAATTAAGTAGTTTATGATAGGTTAAGAAAACATACAAGAATGACTTACCGCCCGTATAAGTGAAAATGCACGGATAAGATTGAATTTAATACTGTTTACACAAGATTGTAAAAAACTGGCGTTTAAAATTATGGCAAACTGGTTGAAAACCGGGGAAGATCAGTACTGATAAGTAATTTACGAATTTGGCTAAGGTAAGTTATTTACGATTTTTGGTTGGGAAAATATATTTATAAGCTTAAAAAGAAAGACTGAATTCGCAAATCAATGATTTACGATTTCTGAAAGCAATTTCCGGCATGAAACATTTCGAATAAGCGAATATCTAGGATGTTATTTTCCCTATTTCAAGTTAAATATCCAGTCTTTTATAAACTTAAAAATAATATAAAAATATTTTAATAAAAACTTTAAAAATGCAACACACCACAAAGAATTTTCAATGAAATTAGTTTTTATACCAATTAAAAATACTTACTTTATTAACAGGCTGAAGCTGTTAAAGTACATCCGTTATTTCTGATGCTGCCAGTAACTATTGGCTGCTCCTTTGCAATGATATTACCAGTAGGAAACCCGTCCAATGCCATTGTTTTTGACGCCAGTTCAATGACAACATTTGAAATGGTAAGTCTTGATTTTCATTCCTTAAGTGTGTGCGAGTGTGTACATACACATACACACACACACTTAAAAATATTATATATATATAATTTATTTCCTAAAGAATATTGATTAATTGATTATATTATCTCTTAAGTTTAATTAAAGTAGAATTATTTTAGAAGAGTGAATCCATACTAGTAAGTTATATTTTGAAAGATGTTTTGAAGTAACTTGAAAGTAAAATGTTAATAATGTTTTAACGGGGACTGGAATTAAATCATCATGAAGAACAAAAATTTCAATTGTAAAAGGAAAAATTAAATTAAATGCATGTAATCATTGTCATTGATCGGAAATTAGTTGACTTTTCAAGGGGAACAAACCAACTCCCGTTCAATGAACAATAATTAATAAATAAATACGTAAATACGAAGGAGGAGTTTCGTCTTTACTCGAGTTAATAAGGTTAAGCCAAACCAGAAATTCTAGTCAGGCCAAATATTTCCGCGAATAGAAGGGATTATGAACCAATGCTGATACTCAAAGAACTTATTCCTATGAAGCATTTTAGCCAATTCAGTTTTGAGTGAAAAGCAATTTCCGTAGGGAATTCCGAAAAAACTCGAGTAACGGTCCCCCGACACCCCCGTGTTTATGCATTTGAGTTATATATTATTTGTAAAAACTAAACATTGGAAATTGGCATTATGAAATAGAATTCAAAGTATAAAGTTGAAATAAACATAGAAGATTACAAAATAAGATAAATAATGCAAACTTTGTAAAAACAAATCAAAAATAATATAAAAAATAAAAAAATATAATAAGAACAGTGAATGTACATGAAGATATAAAGGCCAGAAAAAGTATTAATTAACTTACATTCTTTCTAGTGGGGACTCGGCAAAGTGTTCTCTCCGCGTCTGACTCAGAAGTGTAGGGTATCCGAAAAATTCTTAGCGGCAGCGGGGGCTTTGAATAATATCAGTCGGTAAGACTTGGGTGAAGTAATTTATGGTAGTGGGTGGGACTCGGAATTCTTGAGGGATGTATTATGTGGAGTTCTTATTTGAGTGAAACTGTCTGTTAAGATTTTTTTGAAAATACTAGTGAATGGAAATTAATTAATTTCTGGCTAATTGTCGTGTCGAAATGATTAAGAATTTAATAAAGGAAAAACGGTATTTTCACTGTCTAAGTGCTATTAGACAGACTAAAGATTATGAAATAGGCCCATTTTTTTTTAGTAACAGCATGTCTGAAAACAATTAGCTTTTTACAATATATACAACTGAGTAATTACACTATATACAAATCCTTCAACTGATAGTCATCCAACTTATACCGCCTTCTCAGGTTTAGGAACAAATTATCATATCCCTATCAGTTAAATGATTTAGAGTGAGTATTTAACGCCTGTTAAGGCAATGGTTAATAAATTGAATGGGTATTAGATTATTTTTGAGAGTTTTAATAAGGAGCAAAATTTCGCGTTGTAAATCTATTGTATCTGTGCAGATAATTTTAATTCGTTGTATTTGATTTATTATTGTATTGTTAATTACTTTTTTGGATATGTTGGAATTCCAATTTATTAATTTGTTAGTAATGAAATTGAAGTTTCTTGTTTTGTCAAAAAGTAAAATTTATTTGTAGTTAATGATTTGAAGATCTAGATAGTCTATGCTATTTTGTGAATTATTAGTTTTATTAAGTGTAAGACAATTTGGATAAATCTCGGAGTGTTCAATTTTACCAAAATTATTAATTTTAATAAGGTCATCAATATATCTGTAGGTGTGTTTGTAGTAATTTAACTCTTGTGGTTGTAGATTTTTTTGGAAGTTAAATTCTTTGATAAATAAAAAGATATTACAGATCGAGGTGCTGGGATGTAAACCCATTGGCAAACCTCTGACTTGTTTAAAAAGTTGATTTTGAAACGTGATGTAGTTATGAAAAAGTGTGCATTTTAGGTAATTTTTCCATTTGTTAAGAGTCATAATTGTGAGCATATCAGGGAAGAGTTTAGGCAGATCAAGTAGACTGGTATAGATTTCTTCTAGAGGGAAGTGAGGTATATAAGTTTTCAAAGTCATAGCAAGTTAATGTTTTGGATGTTAATGGTTTGAATGGTATTAATGACAGGAGTGTTATTATGGATGATCCAGCAATAGTTATGATTAGTGTTACAATCGCATTGAAAATAAATTTACAGATTTTTTTAAGTTGAACTGAAAAATAATAGTCTACATTTTTCTTGTAATTTATTAGTTCCATTAGCATATAAATCTGAATTTTAATGGTGTGTGTTTATGGAATTTGGGAATTGCATAAAGATTAGTAAATCTGTTGTAGTTTGCATTGAAAGTAATATTGAGTTTCTTATGAAAAGTTTTAATCCTGTTTATTATAGATGTTTCTGTAAGGTTGGCTAATTGATAAGTAGTTGCGTTGAGAAGTTCTTTATGAATAATTTCTGCGTAGAATTGTTTTCATATAATGCTAAAGTTATTATTTGCTTTATCTATTTTTGTAATAGTAGAAAGCTGTTTTAATTTTTTAATATCTGATGTAAGTTGCGACCAATTCAGTGTACTTTTAAACTTGAGGTGACTGATTTCGGTGGATATGCGTTGAAGAATTTTATCTTTCCATTTTAAGAAGGTATCTATGGGTAAATTCAGTTGATAGCTTGCTTTAACTATAAATTCGTTGATGTTGTTTTCGAAAGTCTTGTAACAGTAATTTTTAGTTATGTTTCTGACTGGTCTAAATTTTGTACCATAACTCATTAGTGTTTTTAGTTGATGGTTTTGTATGATATTCAGGTTGCCAGTAATTATGTGCTGGTGATGAGAATCTACGTAATTGCTGTAAATTGGTGTCTTACAATGTCATTCTGCTGTTTCATCTATTTCATGGTGGTTAGTGAGCAAGTTGCTTAAGGTCCTTTGATATTTAAATGCAAATGGTATTGTGTCAACTGCCGGGGAAGTAATCTTTACAATCTCTGATGATTCTTGAGAAATGAATATTGTCAAACTGCGGATGCAGAAAATTGACTTTAAAATAAATTTTGCGTTGAGTGAGACTATTAGAAAGTCTTAAAAGACTAAAATCGAGAATTATGTCTTTAATGATTTGTATGTCGTCGTAGCTTTCTTGAATGAATTTTTTTAGTTTGATAAGGAATTTATTAGTACAAGAGTGTAACCAGTTGAGAAGTTTCTTGGGGATATATATATATATATATCTGTTAGTGAAAATTGCAACACCATGAAGGAATCATGCAAATAAAGTAATGCTAAGCTGACTAGCGCGTGCGTTGGTTAAGCCAACTCTCATTGAAATATCGTGTTAGCCATGTAAACAGAAGATCATAGCGGAATGTTAAAAGCAGTGCTTTATTATTTGACAGCGGTAAACAGTTCATGTGAATTCACTATGCCTTATCGATGACAAAGGGTCCAACATAAATAGGTTTTACCATTTGAACAGCATCGAATAACAGGCATGTGAGAAGGAGGATTTTCTCTATTGTGAAATTACTGCTCGTAAGGTGAACAAAATTTCACCAGTGATGAGTGTGCAGAATACTGCGCTCAAGAGTAGCGGATGAGTCGCAACCTGGCAGAAGGCCCGAAATGTTACATCAGCACGCAAATGACGCCTCATCCACACGACAGAGATGAACCTGTAGCTTCATCTCCACAGCTTTCTTAACATTAGAGCACTTCGACAAGTACGCCACTATCAGTTTCAACAATCTGCCGGCGTCTACTGGGCTGTGTATTGCGCATGATTCTTCTGCCTCAAATTCTCCAGCGGCGCAGCGGTAAAGTCGCTGAACACTGATGGTTCGACCTGTATATAGTTCCATGCGAACAGCCTGGCTTTTCGTGATTTGCCCCATGTGTACGTAGATACTAGCCAGCTTCCCTTAGAAAGCCCTCGACGAAGGCATCCCGTTCGAGATAGTTCTAGCATTCTTTGTCGTAATCAAATAAGCTAAACGAAACCATTTCCTGCCTGAAAGACAATGAAGCCTACGGCTATAATGGGCTCATCAGCACAACCACTGACTTGCGGACTGGCAATGCAGCCCTGATTTTCGATTAATTTTGCCGGCAGAAAGACGTCATTGAGGTAAATGTCATTTTCCGAAGTTGCATTATCCAGCACTATATTGACTGATTGCCTAGCATGATGGTCTAGAGCAAGGCTTCTTAAACATTTTTTCAGTCGCGACCCCTTTTCATCATTGAGATTTTTTTCGCGACCTCTGGATCCCATATTTATGGAAATTTTGTGGGACCCCATAAGCATTGCGCAAATCCGACACAAGCGTGAGTGGAACCGTCAATTTTTTTCACTTGTACTGTAAGATACTACTGCAGTTTTAGGTCATTCATTTCTAATTTTAAGACATAGACCAATGTTTAAATTTTAAATAAGTAACAGATGAAATGACAGCCTCAAGTGCAAAGCAACTGAAATGAACATTGATATTATAAAAAGAATGCGTCAAAACGTTTTCTTTTTTCTTTGTATGTATTGTCTTATTTATCTATTTTCAGACACATTGTGTAAAAATAATTGGTAATTGTAAAATTATTATAATGTTAAAGAAATATCAAAACTGCTAAAATTTTTGGCGACCTTCTGCTGCAGGTCCCGCGAATCCCATGGGAGTCGCAACCCACAGTTTAAAAAACTCTGGTCTACAGCATCATTGGATATGACTGACGATTTGGTCTGTTGAGAACTGAAGGACTTTCATCAGACACCACTATAATCAGAGAAGTTGTGCAACCAGAAATCGTACCCTTCATTCAACATATTCCTGGAAATAACTTCAAGACAATAATGCTCGCTTCTTCTTTGGCCTCCCATTGACCAGACACATAATCTATTAAACACGTCGAAGATTTCATGCACAAGCAATTTGCCTATAATATTCGTCTCGCACCCAAACACGAAGCAAATAAAGGTTCGGGTAGAAGCAATAATTGATATTCCTCAGCTACACATTCAAACACTCTTTTAGTTTAATGCCACGGCGAGTAGCAGCTTATTGTAATGCATTGCGACTTCATCAAATAGTTATTTTGAGCATTTAATTTTCTTTTACTATTTTATAAATTTAAACGTTTCTTCTTTGAAAACAAGTCGTATGTGTAATAAATTTCATTCAATTCAGATGGTTCTTTCATGGTGATGCAAATGTAACAAAAAGAAAGCGTGTGTATTTGTGTATATAAATGTATCTTTCATTCATCTTTTCTCAAACTTCTTTCATTTTCGTTTCAGATGAAACCTGGAGTTATTTTAAAAATTTTGTGCTGTGCTGTGGAGCTAATTATGATACAGACTTTAGGAGTGGTTTTATTTAATTTGCATACCTACCCTTCATGGGCAAATAATACAGATATTTATGCAGGGCAGCAAACAGTTCTGTCCACTCATATATGGACTGCAACACAAAATATAAATAGCACAGAACAATTTAATTTAATTACTACTTTACTACCAATTTTACAGAATTCTTCTTTTACTTGAGCAAAGAATCCAGCATTTAGAGTGAATAATTTACTAAATGAATACTTTACAGCAGAGCTGAAAAGTAATATTTTATGAAATGAAGGATTTCCTCTTCAGACCACTTTTTATGAGAAATAAGTCCAAATTTGCTATATTGAAGGGAAGAAAACTGAAATGTGTCTTTTTAATGCGGCACAATTTAAAATATAAAAGAAAAATGGGGATATAATATATTAAATTGACGGAGGCTGATTTCTGCAGATAGCAGAATCAATTTGAGATGGGTGTTGAACTACTGGCTGTAAAATATGGCTGTATGTTCGGTTAATATTTAACCGAACATATAGCCATACATAGAGCAATAAACAAAGAGCACAGAGCAATAAACAAAAGAGAGGGAGAGAAAACTGTTCAACATGGGGCAATAAACAAAGATTAATTTTATAAGTCTGCTCTTTCAGTTAAATCTATAAAATGAGTTACAAACAGAACAAAAAAACTGTGATAAATTGTGAAATTATACATGTATTTGCAAGAAATTCGAAATCGCATTTTACTTGTCCCTCCCCCCTTTAAAGCTCTACTTTATTTTACATTACATCGATTTATACAATGTAAAAAAAAAAGAAACACAGTTGAGCTTTTAAATGACGACAGCAGTTCAGCGAAGTCCATTTTTAATTAAACACTTAATAATACTTGAATTCTATGTTTGTGCATTATCTGAAAAATTATGAAAATACAATTACAAGAAGTCGTCTGAAATCGTTTAAAAATTCTGTTGACTTTACTGTGGACCACATTGAGTTTGCTAATGGGTCATATACAAGCCATTAATTAGCCACCAGTCAAACAGTATTTTGTAACTCTTACTTATTAATGAGAATTAAACATTGAATATCATTTATACTAAATTCGGAACCTGAAGTTTAAAAGCGAAACATCATGAAGTTTTGTCTTAAACAGAACTTAAACATGTATACATAAAAATTTAGGTCATTCAAAAGCTAGACAAAATTTGTTTTGCAGTTCCATTTTTAAACATCAGTGCGATAAATGATATTGCAATTAATTCCAAGCGGAAAATATGAAAATACAGTTTATTATGTATCTTATATGGTGAAAAAAATTAGCAAATTCCTTAATCGAATACCTAATGCTTTTCCCTTATTACTAAATTTTCTGGCAAAAAAAAAAAATATATATATATATATATATATATATAGATATAGATATCATCCAACAGATTAAAAGGTAAATCAATCCTGCAGACTTTATAAAGTTACCTTTATTCTCAGCAATTATCTTCTTTAGAGGCATTTTTGACACAGGCATGTCAAATGAAGTATTCTCTATCTTTAAATATTCTGATATTCAACTTAAATAAAACTGGAGAAAAACGGAGAAAGAACAGAAGCAAAATGTGACAGAGTATCTACTACTTAAAAAGACAAATTAAAAATCATATGATCAGTATTACAGCAGTTGTAGGAAAATCTCGATCATAATATCAAGCCTTTTGATACTTCTTCTCTAAATAGTAGCTTAATTCTTTGCAAGTAAGGGGACCAAAATATTTAAAATTTGAACCAAAATATAAAAATCGGATTCTGTTAAACTTTTCAAAAAAAAACTTTTTTTGAAACAAAAGTTTAAATGAGTGTTTTTGAAAGGAAATTTATCAAACATTATAGCAAGGAAGTTCGACTATTTAACACTCATTTAAATCTCTTGGCAATTAATCTTCAGATGATGAAATAAACATATAAGAATAATTATATATTGTTGTTGCTTATGCTCACTTGTCTGACGTATAAGCACAAGCCTACGAAATTCCTTCTGACAAGGAGCGCAAGATTACGCCTGTTGTTGGCAACAGCATTGAGCACCTAAATAGATGACAGTGCGATCTGACTCAGTTCCGCTCCCCAGTTTTGGAGAGCACCTCGAGGGAAGGGACGGGTACGAGAGTCTCCCACTCCTCTCGCCTTCCACCAAACAACACGAGAGGACAGAATAACTATATTATTAAAATTATTTAATTAATTGCAAATTTGATATTTACATGAATTTTTTAATACTGTATGAAATGCTATATTCAATTAATCATATAATAAATTATTTCAAATATAAATGAAATTTTCAGTAAAAGTATTTTACAATACTGAGAAAAATAAAATTACACTCTATTAGAATTCTAACATGAAACCTAAATTGTTTACCCAATACTCATAATTTATGCAATCACAAATATTAAGAAAAAAATTTAAATTCCTGAATATCAAGGGGAAAAGTACTAAATGAACAATTAAAATCATTCATAGCAGAATTTGTTTTTATACATATATGCAAGAATCTTGAATTTAACCAATGAAAAAGCACATTTTTTAAGCATATATTTTTCAAACTGTTTATAATTATACGTAATTTATAATGTTTAAAACTTGAGTTGTCATTGTTGTACCAATTAGTGTCATCAATTATTATGAAACATTATTAATTAAATTTTAAAACTAAAGCATATCCCGGTTTGTGACATTATTATTACACGTTAATGCATGGGCAAATGAGCACAAGAGATACATTTCTTGGATTACTGTATTGTTGATTTTTTGAATAAAATGTTATATTTCTGTTTTTGTTTTTCATCATAATTTAAATGTTATATTTTCACGATTAAGATACAATAGAACCCTGATTATCCGAGCTAATAAGGACCGGTGGTTGCTTGGAAAATACGGATTAATGTTAAAAAGAATAATATACTATAGTCTGATTGTACATACTATAGGGAATTTACTAACGTACAAGATTGGCACAAGTAAATATCGATATAAAACGTACGTACGTTCAAATGTACAGACATATACTACATAGTACTCAATACATGTACTATAAACTTGAAAACGCATCTAATATAAGTGAGTTGCTGTACAGTATACATAACATATTAAAAAACAAAATAATTGAATTGTTGGAACAAAATTGTTGAAATATTTCAGCCTTCTAATTCATTGTCCTGCCTCGTTTTCTTACCACGGTTTGGCCTACAGGTCGCAACATCATAATGTCAGATGGTGACGTATCGTCTTGCTGTTTAGCAAAGAGCAGTACCTTTTAGTTCGCGTTCAAGCCATCTGTGTGACTGCTCTTGGTTTGAAGAATTCCCATGTCTTCGTGATCAGCGCTTTCATTATGCGTAGTTAAAATTACAATGATCTCGTCAAACAGTTTAAATTGGATGCTAGTTACTACGACTGGCTTAAGCTAGTTACTAAATCTTCATCATCTGCTTCTTCGGTTTGTATCATCGTCATTTGGCGAAATATTTTTCCAGCTTTTCAGTATAGTAGCTTGTTTTACATCGTTCCACGATTTTCTCAGCCAGTAAATGACATCTTTCAGATTAATTTATTTTGTGCTTTCAACAACTTGTTAATTTATAGATCTTTAAATATTTCAAGAGTTTGCGTTGGTAATTCCATTTTGAACTTTCTAAAAAGCCTTGCTTTAGAATGCAATATTAAGGGGTAAAAAAACAGCCCAGATCACTCCACTAACCAGCTGACTTTCATCAGAATGACTGCAAACATTGTCACGACCGCCTTACGGGACAAATTATTTTCAACAGAAAATTGCTTAACACTTGGTTCAAACTTTTCGTGGAACTATGAATTAAATACTTTTGAATCACGCAAGCGAATTTCTTAGGTTTCTGTAATTTATATGAAGATTTTCAACGTACTCATTTTTAAACGCCCTTGTTTTTTTTTTTTTTTTTTTTTCCTTGTCTATCAGTAAAAGCTTACACTTGTTATCGGCAGATTTGTTCGTTAAATGCCAAAAACATCCGCATTTTCTTTACTTCGTTTATAGGAACTGATGGTTCTTGTTTTGATGCTAGTCTTCTCGATAACATTTTAAAATTTACAACCGTTTCGTCCCAGCTATAAATTTGTGTGGGCACAGTTTATTTATCTGAATGATATTATTAAATTTGTCAATAAAGGAAGTCACTGTACCTAAGTTAGCTGACAAAATCTCCCTTGCAATATTTAATTGTCACACACAAATTCAGTTTTTTCCAACGATCAGGCCAACCTATGTTGACAGTGAATTCCTCTTCACCGTCTTTGCATCACTAGAAAAGTCTTCTAGCTTGTAACATCAGACCAAATATTAGACTTACTTTCTGTCTCAACTGCTGAAACTATAAAAGCAATACTTCTCATGTCAGTTCGCAATCGCTGTCTTTCATTGTTTTCCTTCACTTCGTGGCGTTATCATCTCCAGCCGGGTGTGCATGCTGGAGTCACCCACTTTCCAATTTTCTCACTTTTCCTTCTCCAGTCACCAACTGTCACTTCGCCAGAGAAACTTACACCACTATTCATCTTTTCAATCGTTTCATCATGATCGAGCTTGTTAATAGCAGCAAGCTTTTCTTCTAGTAATAAAAATATGTTTTCTTCTACTAGAGATTGTTCAACTAGCAGTCACTAGAACACACACATACAAGTAAATAAATTAAGAAAGAAAAGAGCAAAGTCGCTCAAACCTTTTTTTTTTTTTTTTTTTTTTTTTTTGGTCCAAAGGGGCTTTGTCCCTGAAGGACTGTTTTGTTTCCGTTTAGCGATTTTGCGTTGATTCACTACTAACGGCGAATCACTTATTAAATAATGAAAAATCTGCATAAATGTATGTATATTTCTCGCATTGTGATAAAACAACCAACCAACAACATAGAGCCATCGAATTTTGAATGACGTAATCCTTCTACGAATATGGGCATGTGGAAAACCAAATTTCAAATTTGGAATTTGTTTTGTTATCGATTTCTTATTTTGTAAAAGTTTAAAGAATGTTTGATTCAAGGGTTTCAAAGCGAGCAATGGTAACATTGTACAGAACAAACATTTTTATCTCCAGCGCGTGAGTCTCTGTATCGGAAATTCTAAAGATATACTCATTTTAAAATTATTTTTCGATATTGCTGTTGAACTGAATTTTATGGTTTAAGTGCGAAGAACGTGATATTTAATAAATAAATGTAACAGACAAAATGTTAAAAAAAAAACACGCCTTTGGGATGTAATTTAAAATCTGAAACATTTCAGATTTTTAAAAATATTACGTTTTTATTTTATTTATTTACTTTTTCCACAAACCAACTGATTTTTCACTCATAGCCAAGAATCGAGGTTGAAAAGCTCAAGGATGATAGCAATGGAGCTCTTACCTTTACGGTTTGAATTATTACTACAATCAAAGTCTACAGATAGTTTACCTTTCGCGCGAGGCTATTTTAACGATTTTTTTAACATATTGCATTGGACTTGGATAACACAGAACCTCGGTTAATCGAAACTCGAATAATCTGGTTCTACTGTATAAAATAATGAACTGAAATATGTACATCTAACTGTATAACTCTGAAATTTTGTTTTTAAATACCATATTTGTTCAAAAATAAGATTCGCTTTTTCTTTTTTCTTTTTGTTATATTTTTGTTCTAAAATTTGATAAACTCTAAATAAATGGATATTTTGATAAACGAAATTGAAGAATGAGAGGAAGAAGATTTATTATCATACTATATAAAACAGTTACACTGGCTTAAATACTAAAACCACATAAATAATTACTATTCAATTACTGTAAATTATAATTTCTATGTCTAGCTGAGATATTTTAATTTAGATCTGCATCCACTATACTGGTCAGTGGTATGCCTGAACACAGTAGGTAACACAGAATCACTAACAATGTCCTTAGGACATAGCTAATAGCACTGTTATTTGAAGGAAGAGGGGAAAAAAATCCCCTTTCTCCTAATTATTGCAAGACAAAATATTCATCTACATTTTTATTTCTTAAAATTTATCCTAGAATGTTAGTTGGGTCTTATTTTCAAGTAAATACTGCGATTATTTCAAAGTATAAAATACCAGGCATCATTAAAATATGATCATGCAAATGTTCTTTAACATAGTAGTAGAAGTATGAAGCAGTTATACAGTAAAAGAGATAATTACAGTTTTTATTGTAGAATATATTTATTTTGCAGTAATAATCATATAATACACATAAAAATATATAAATGTTATATAAAAATAATTTTACTAACATTAGTTGCAAAATTTGGCATGCAAATGTAAAACAAAATATATACATTTCTATACTCAAATGATAACAGCATTAATATGCATAATATTTTTCCTAATTATTAAAAATTTCAAATCTGAATTAAATAAATGCAATTTAAAAACTCTGCAAAAGGAAACGAAAACCATTTCTGAATGATATATTTATCAAGTAGTAAATTTTTAAATTATTGCACATTCATGAACATTCATAACATATGGCTAATTCCTCAATAATTATAATTCCTCAATAATAAAAACATATGGCTAATTCCTCAATAATTATAGTGATGGTGGAGAATTCATTGGAAAATCCTTTATTTTGCAAAGACGGAAAATAAAACATTATTAATTTACAAAGCTGAAGCAAAACAATTTAGTATAAATAAATATATATATATCCATTAGCTATTCAATAAAATACATTAAAATAAACTTCTAAAATAAAATACTCTTATTAGAGCTACATAAATTTTAGCAGCTATTAAGTTTGAAACATTATGCAATTAGCACATGGAATAGTTATTTCTACTGTAACCTTAAACAAATTTTGAACTATTATTTGAACTAACAATTCTAATTAACTGTGACTTAAAATGTACATGCATCCATCCAAAATATAAAATTCTATAATTTTTGATACAATGTTCTTAAACACACTCATACAAGATGCTTTTAAATATATTCCTATGAGATCAAAGCTTTTAAACATACTTCTATAAGATCTGTACAGACGACATAATGTTCGCATATTTAAAAAAAAAAGAACAATCATGACCATCATATATAAAGTATATACGTACATTTATACAAAAGAAATTCCGTAGTTTATCTTGTCATTTAAAATAATTAATTCAAATTTTTAAAAACTCTAAACAAGAGCCCATTTCAACAATGCAATAAAACAGTTTTAAAATCGTATATATAAGTAACTTACAGGTATATAATAGGTCATTATTCTTTTTAATATTCTTATAATATTTTATATAATCTTTCCAGAGATAAAGTCTTTATTACCAAATAACGAAAAATCTGTACCTTTGTTCTTCGCACTATGGAAACTCAAGAGTACCTAGAACCACTAAATTTTAAACAAGACATAATCTCGCACCCAAACATGTGAAACCCCGATTTTTGAATTAAAAAAAAATTATTTCGTATTTTGGAAACATTTAATGAATTTTTTATTAATAGACTCAGCGATTTAAAAGCAATATGTTGCTAATTGGCAAAGCATAAAATATTTACTTTTCAAATTTAATCAACAAATTCATTGATTTGAAAGAAAGGAATTGCCACTGTCCATGATAAAATATTTTTATCCTCTACATGTTGCCGTTTGGCAAAGCATAAGATATTTAAATTTTCTTTCAAATTGAATCCGTCTATTATTGATTAAATATCTAACTGATTTTAAAACTATAAGTGCAGTTCTTCACCTCTATTATTATTAATTACTAGCTGGACTTGTAAAAATATACTTGCTGGACTCATTAGAATTATTGTACATATATATATATATATATATATTTTAAATAACTCTTTTAGGTAGCTGGCTATGCAAAATAAATGAAAATATATTCTTTAAATACTCCATGATACATTTAATAAATACACCAAACCCTTGTGGAATGAGAGGGTTATCTCATTAACACATTGCGTGTGCGGTAAAATCGCACTCCGCAAAGTTAACTTTCTAGGGAAAATTCAGTTTAGATATACTTCAGATTAAGACAGAAAGTATAATTCATACAAACCGAAATATTATTGTAATTAAAAGGGCGAAATGAAACAAATGTTAATTGAAAGGTTTTCTATTACTACTTAGTAAGTAGATAAATAATGAATTATTTATTTAAAGAGCTGGTGATTTTTGCTCGAGACAATGTTTGGTGGAACTCATTAAATGGTTCGCGGTAAGGAGTGCAAAGTTTTTCATAACCTCTCATAAAGTGTCCTCATCGTTCTTCATTTGGGTCAATCTGCATTAGAAAATCAGACAGTTCCGGTGCCTCTTTTAACAATCCGTTGAATTTCTTGTATGTTAAAGGCTCTTCATCTTCTTTACTATCGCTGCTTTCAAAGAAGGCTGGCGTTATAAGATCACCCAATTTTTCATTTCTCATTTAATGATCGTCATTTCTCGATTAAACCTTTAATTTCTTCTTTTTCCATACCTGAAAATTATTTGCTGCTTATTGCTTTTGCAATTTGTACGACTTCCTTAGCTTCATTTCTCAATCGATGGAATTACGATTGCTGGCTACGCTTGGTTAGCGCTTATGCCAGCAAGCATTTATTATTAACGAATTAATTGTTCCTATGCGAGTTTAATCATTTCTATACAACGTCTTATATCGATTTGTTTCCAAAATACCATTAGTACCGTGCACTTTCCTCCATCTATTGCTTTATTTGCACAAATGTAAACATGCCTGACTTAACAGGCTTTGAATATTTTTATGATCCCTTGATGCATTGTTTGGATTAAGGAAACGGTGTTCAATGGAAGAAATAAAATCTCCATATTTAGATGCAATATTGTCAGGGTTTCTGCACCGCGTCCTGGAGCATTATCGGGAAACAGGGTAACTATCACAAACTGCTACATATTTCTGTGATTGTAGTAAAGTATAGTGACCCTTTCTCAATATATTCACTATTTATTATGCCCGTGGGTCTTAAAATGCCATTCTTGAGCGCAATGACATTCAACGAAGGGTTGTCCAGTATAAGAACTGGAAATACAATTATAATTCATTAAAAAATTGAAAGAACGTAAGATAATTGGTAGCAGATCAATAGATCGTTTCTCATCTGACAACTGGCATCATTTTCTTGCAACCAGCTTGTGGATAACATGCTACTTGCAATAGCCATATTGGGAACTGAGGTCAGACATATTGTTTGTTAATCCGGATCTTGTTGAGTTCTTGTCTCTTTCATAAAATGAGAAAATTGCTTCAGACTGATTAGCATGGAAGTTACACAGAATCCAAATTTGATGCTTTCTGGCAATTGCAGAGAGAGATATTTGTCAAATTCAGGGATACCCACTTCACTGAATACCTGTTTTAGAATTTAGTCCTCTGAATTTCTGTTAATTCAATCTTTAAATGGATTAAAACATTCTCAATGTTGATTGAGTAAATATTTTTGTAAAGAGGCGGTTTCAAGAGTTTTATATATGCCTTGATATTGGGTGGCTTTCCAGGTTTCAGTAATATATTATATATATGTATTTTTTATTTCATGGCATGATCCGAGGGCATAGAAAAATGAGTCACGGCCTGTGAGTTTGACATGTTTGCCATAGATGATTCTGAAATGATACTGACGGGCATCATTTCAGTCAAGAAGCAGTGTTCCCTGCAGAATTCATCACATCTTGTACTGATAGAAACTTTTCACCAAAATTCCTTATATTTTTTAGATCATTGTTATTTTTTAAATCATTAACTTATTAGCTACTTTCTTTGCCGTTTCCTACATTAGTTATCTTGTATTAATACTCCATGATCTGTAAAAATTTCAATGGATAAAATATTTTTTCTTTTTGTTAAACCTTCTTTCTGCTTGTTGCTTAATTTTGGACATGAGTGCAATATGCGAAGAATAATTCAATTTTTTGCTGTAATGAATGATTCGGTGTTGAAAAATTTTATTTAAAATTTCCCAACCTTAGCAGGGCTAATAAATTCCATACTAATAATGTATTTCCAGTACACAATATATAACTCAAAAATGAAACACAATCTGTCTTATAAAGATAGGTAACCCGCAATTTCATAAGACAAAAAATTAAACAGGAAATTTCATACAGAATACGAATTAAAAAAGTATCTTATTACATAGTATCAAACAAATTATTATTACCCCAAATTCCTAAGAATTTTTTTATATCAATGTAAAGGGGAATTTCACACCTTCAGCTTCATATCACAAGTACTTTTCAGATGAATTTATGGAATAAATTTTGATCTTTTAATAATTTATCATAAAATTTATTGTATCTCATATTACAATTTTATTTCACAAGAAGCATGTATTTTTTAACACTCAACCCTCATTTCTCAAAGCATAATATAGTAAAAGATGCTATATACATCATAGAACAGACAGCTTCACTAAAAACTAACCAGAGGAATAACGTCTAAAAATCTCCACAGGTTCATATATTTCTAATAGACCTTTCACAAGATACAATTCAGTGACAGACTATTAAAAGCTGCCTTGATATCAAATTTTCAAGCTTATTTATAGCATAAAAACAGCATGTCAAAATATTTTACATTTACATCAATTGACAGAACTAAAAAATACATAAAAAGTTTTTTTTAATGGTCGAGGCACTTTATTTAATAGCCATCAGCTTGCACCACTACAAGGGCCGAAAAAGGTGTCCATTTCATTATGAAAGCATCTAATAGGTGGCTATCTTTACCTCCTATGAAGGGACGGACAGTTACAACCATGAATTCTCCGGGATTCGAACTCGTGCCTATTGCTATGACAGTCAGGGCCACTAACCACTATACCGACTTGTCAGCCTAATTCTTAATCCTTTAATCCCATAGATTACCACTTCCTAAACATGTTATGCTTCCAGGCATACAGACAAAAAACCTGTAACATATGTATTTATGAATACAGCATTTTATGGTTCCTAAAATAAAATTTATTACTGTAAAAACATTCCGAAATTCTGAATATTTTAAGCATTCTTGCTGATTTCAATAAACTCATCTTGACAGATATTATTTGTACAATTAAAAACAAACTTATTCTCAAATTATGACAGATAAGCATTTAAGGCTATTTTAAAATATTAAAAAAAAAGATGGTCCCTTATTAAAAAATTGGAATTTTTATTAAAACAATAGAAAAGGAAGCAAAAAAAATGATGCATCCTTATTCTAAATTGAATCCATAATTAGATACTTAAAGTGAAACAAAAAAGAATTAACTATTAAAATAATGAGAACAGATATAACCTTTTGATTTCTTCAAATTAAAATAGCTATCAAGCCTTATGAAAAATAAAACATAATTAATAAAACATTAATGCTGTAAGAAATTTTAGTATAATCAGGAATGGTAGCATAAGTATATAATAATTTAAATCAAGTGATTTCATCTGTGAGTGCTTAGGAATATAGGTCCCATGCATTTTAAAATATTTATGCAACCAATTACACGTAATCCTTCCAGTTGATCCACTGATAGTTGTGGTATTTAGGATTACTCTGCGGATCCAATGGCTTGTTGCCTGGAGGTACAGCAGATGCACTATACTCGGCTAGTTTCTTTAACAAAGTATCTAGCATCTAAAATGACAGAAGATTTCACTACACTGAAAACATAGATTAAATTATGTTTAAACAAAAATAGATGAAATATATATATTATATGAAAAATGAAAGAAAATATACACTGCCCTCCAAAAGTTAAGGAACAGCATGTTTTTCAAAGCTCACCATTACAAAGCAATGTTTAAATTCACAGTTCATATGCATGACAGTAATGAAATTCAAGAAAATATATGCAAAAACTATAGCTACCACTTTTATTTTATAGAAATGAATACTTATATAGGAGTTGGAAAAAAATGCAAAAACTGTAATTTTTGTTCACGAGTGTTGATCTTCATTTGCTATTACAGTTTCGTGGATAATATCCAGGAGAGTCTAACAATGTCCAGGAGAAGTCTGCATAATTCATTGAGGTGGCGATGGGATGGATGGAAATAGGGATGTCACAAGCTGATGCTGCTAGACGTCTCAATGTCTCTCGTAATGTAGTCCACAAACTATGGAATAAGTTTGAATCCAAGGATTCTGTGTCTAGAAGACATGTTCCAGGCAGACCTAGAGTTACAGCACATGCTGAAGACCATTATTTAGCTCTTTTGGCCCACAGGAGTAGTAACATTACTGTGCTTCAGCTCATGGTAGATCACTTAGTGGCAACAAGAACAAGAATCTCAGCTACTACATAGGCAGACACTTGCACAATATAGGTCTGTATGCAAGACGACCAGTTGTTTGTGTCCCCTTGACCCGAGGACTCAGAGATGCCCGTTTATGTTGGGCAAGAGAACACATCTCCTGGACCAGTCCACAATGAGCATCTGTTCTCTTCACAGAGGAGTCCAAGTTCAAATTGGAGAGTGATTTAGATTGTCAGCTGATTTGCAGAGAACAATGCACCAGATACAACCAATCTCACATTGTGGAAAGATACTGTTACAGAGTTAGTGAAGTAATAGTTTGGGCTGAGATCTCTCTCAGTGGTCACATTGACCTGCATGTGTTCCATGGAGAAACTTTGACCGGTGTGAGACATCGAGACAAGATCCTTGATCAGTATGTCCCCCATATGCCGCTGCTGGTCCTGGATTTCTTCTGATGGATGAAAATACACGACCACACCAAGCTTGGTTTGCTTAAGTATATATTGAGTGTTACGGTATGGAGTGGATGGAATAGTCAGCTTAATACCCAGATCTGAATCCGAGAACATCTTCCGAACTATATTGGGAAACAGGTCCTTTAAGTCCTCCTCCAAGGTTTTTAGATGAGCTTGAACAAGGATTACTATGTGTCTGGCCATTGCTTAGAATTTCACTGACCGACAACTTAATTGACAGCATGGAACATCGCTGCCGCCAATGTATTGCAGCTAGGGATGGACACATTCCTTATTAGAACCCATTTTTGTAATGCTATCATCCCATTTTCCCTCAAAAAACCGTGAGATACTGTTTCTATAAGACTGTATTTCTCTACCAAGAGAGTAATTTTTTGTTGTAATTCATTTTTGTATTAAACTTTAGACACATTCTACATCGCAATCATAAAGAACTATTTAGTGAACATATCCTGTAAATTTCTTGCTTCTATGTTGCTTCATTCTCAAATTAGACAACAAAATATGCTGTTCCTTAACTTTTGGAGGGCAGTGTATTTTCATAAGTTTGAAATAAAATGCTTGGAAAAATGGAATGATTTTTTCCCTTCATAACTTAAAAACTATAAAGGCTGAAAAAAATAAAACTAATTTAGACTAGCTGCCTTAAATCTAGCATTTCTTCACTACCTTGACTAGTAGTTATGGCAAGGATGGAACTCAAGTATTCTTTCATGGGTCTCAAATGTTCTATTTTCTTAACTGTTAAAAACTGTTAGGAATTACAGAAAAATTTTGTGATTTCCTTAAAATCAGAGACTTTAGATCTGGGCCTTATGGACATAAAAAAAAAGCAAACTTTAAAGGCATGTAATGCATATGAGAAGACAGAAGGAGACATGAAAGAGGTGATAATGATGCCAGATGTTAGTGATATAACCTTCGTCTGTAAAATAATTTAAATAATGTAGATTTATTTCTGACATTTAAATACGCCATGAACAAATCTGTAAATGATTGAAAAAAACCAAAGCCCAATGAACAAGGATTTTTCAAAAATATGTGGAAAACATAAATCGAAGAAAATGTAACAAGAGCAAAATTCCAATGCAATCGAAGTACATATGAAATATTGGTGCATTATGATAAAGAACTATAAATGCCAAAATCTATATGTATTAGATATAGATTTGTGTACAACAGGAACAAATGAGCAAAGTTAAATTTCACTGAAATAAAGAAAAGCTACTTGGTCCAGTTGACAGTTATAGCACTTAGATCACAGAAACATAGTAGTTCAACAATATTGTCATCAGTGAGTCATAGAAGGGTACAATCTAAGAATAAACATACACTGGACAGCCAGAGCAATAATACAACATCTTTATAAAGAACTACTGAAAACATACACACAGCACAAATAACATTGCATTTAACCATTTGTCACCGTATGAAGCCATTTGCACGTCTGTAAGTAACCATCTGAAATTTTAAGACACGGTTTTTTAGTTAAAATAACTTTCCACATTACAGAGTTACATTCCAGATGGTTAACCTGTTATCTACTGATAAGGAGTTAGTATTAAAAACATGGTTATTTTCCAATCAACATGCCACAGATTTCCAGCAAATCTATGCCTCAAATGATGGTTATAGTCCACAGTCGCAATGGATTCTATGTACATCTCTAGGTAATTCAGCTTGCACATGATAACTGCCTTTATCATGGCATGCAACACATCTTTCACACCAGGAAGAAATATTTCAATCACAATTAGCCTTGGTCATCTTTCCATACAGTTTTCGAAATAGCACAGTACATTCATGACATTCTGAGAAGAATTTTATTATAACATAGCATTCCCTGCTCAATTTTTCAAAACAATGCTCAGGCTTCCTAAAGCTAGTTTAGTCACCTCACTTTTTTTTCCCTAATGAAAAGTATCTGATACATGATAGGATGTGCCTATGCTAATCTGAAAACAGACTTGAAAACTGAGAGGGGGAAAAATATGTGGAGTATATTATTTCTACAGAGATGCTTAAACAGAGCACATTAAAAAGCCCACATAACATGCACAAGTGTTATTATATTATGTATTTCAAAGGCAAATTTCAATATTATTCTTTTGACTTACATAAAATAATTTACTATTTGTATATATATTTTATACTGTTACCATAAATCTGATGTTTCTAAATCATATGCTGAAAAAACTGAGAGGGGGGCACTATGTAAGGAGGAATAACACACAAGTAAATACAGTATTTTTTTATTATTATTATTATTTCAGATTTGGAAGCCTTTAGTTCTGACTTATAAGAAAAGTAATTTTACATTATTAAAAATATATAATTTATAAATCACTATCAGTTTTTACTAGCACAGGCATTAATGCAATAATAAATGAAGGAGATAACATATATATTTTTCAATTATGTAATAACTTTTCTACATTTTTATTTACCATCTTGTGAATTTATAATAATACTAAACACACAGCTTAAAAATTTATTGAATAATTTATTTTAAATATTAGTAGAAACAGGCAGTTAGAATTTCATGAGTTATTCTGAGCTAGACAAATTGTTAATAACATGATATAGCTCGCTCTTTAAAATGCAGTAATATTTTTATCATCCCACTTTATAATGATTGAATGCAGAAGATGCAGGTATTTAATTTTTTGTCATAATTAAACATGAGCAAGATAGCAGCATAGGAATGAAAAATTAAAATCTTTAATAAATAACCATGAAAATATCATTGATGTAATCAAACTTACGTGTGGCTTATCTTCAGCTAAATTATAGTACTCACAAGGATCATTTTGAACATCAAATAAGCATGGTTTTTTGGCAGGATAACAACTAGACGTTGCATTTTTAGGAATAGGTCCACATGTTATTTCAGCTTTATGGTATAATTTTTCTGAAGAACTCTTTGCATTTCTAGTTTGAGTGAAATTCTCTCTTCCAGATGGTCCATACCAACCATCCCACTGGCCACCATACACAGTACCTTGTATTACTTTGAAATTTCCCACTCGAAGAGCAGATACTTTGTTAATAGGATCAATGTTTAATAATACTTCAGATCGAGGTGAAGGTCTGTTGAAAGACAATGTATCCCAAAGATCATAACCATCTAACTTGCCAAGATTAGACACATTTCCACCTGAAACAAGGTATATCCACCTTTTAATCTATGAAACTGGAATCATCAACAAATAAATGGCTACAATTAAAAAGAAAACAGAAGTTTTATAAATATATATATATATATATTTATGTATGTCCTGTACATCGATAGAAATTCATAGAGACTTGGCTAGTTAGTTAGCAAAGATGAAACGAGTTCACTTTTTAGTCAAGGTCAAAATAACTTAGCAGGCAATAGCTGTAACGGAATGGCAATGGTTTATTGTGTAGATGGAGTGATGGACTTATAGATAGACATGGCTGAATTCAACATAACTTTATTATTAGATAAAGCATTTCTGGAGACGAAATATTTGCTTCACGCATGATTATGGGTGCAATAGGCATCCCCCAATTTTCTATATAAAGCTTACATTTAGATAATGGAAAAAAAGCCAAGCGAGAGACGTGGCTTATTCTGGCAGCAGTAGGTGAAAAAGTAGCATATTAAGCAGTTGGAGTTCTTTAAAAATTTCATTTCGTTTGTTTGAATTCTGGACAGTAATTGAGCAAAAGTTTACAGCAATAAAGTGAAACTGCAAGGAAAACGTGAGATCAATAATGCACTGAAGGAGGTTATATTAGAATTAAAATTAGGATTTTAACCCTTTCCAGCACGCTACCTTTTAAAGTTGGAGTTTTGATAAAAAAAAAAATGTAGGCAGTCTAATTAGGCCTAGAGGAGTACACAAGTAAAATTTTGTGACTTATCTTTTAATTCATCACTTATCTTTTAATTCTGTGGGTGTGCCCAGGCACACTGATTGAATAGAGCTTCAAAAAGAGTGCTGAAATGAGCATTGTTGTCAATGAACTGATCGATGAGATGCGGAGAAACAAAGAATACAGACTCTCGGTTGTCCTAGATTATCGGTGAGCCCACTCTGGGCACACCTAGGGTTCACTGTTTGATTTTAGGCAAGATTTCAAGGTAAAAATTTAAAACTATAAAATAAGGAGATTAAAATTCAGCCAAAAAAATAACATAGAAATTTCTTTTAAAACAATTCCTTTCATACCCTAAAAAAAATCTGGAAGATTTCTTTGAAAAATGAGAGTCATAAAAAACTAAACATGGCTAAAATATATGGACTGGTTTGTGTTGAGTGCCATCTACTATAAATAAAGAAGGTTCAGAGTAACCTATAAATCTTTTTTCATTCAATTTTTCTATGTGTACAGAAGGAAATTTTTGGGTGTGTCCAGACCGGATACACTGTGCCGCAAAGAGTTAAGAACTGTCACCAATTTGTTCCAATTAAGTTTAATTTTTTAACAAATTTCTGTCACAGTTATGTATATACATAGAAGATATAAAATATGTAATTCAAAATTATTAACTTTAATTTGGTAATTCCTTTTTCCTTCTCATTTTAATCGGGTTATCTCCCCTTTATATTCTAAATTGTTTATGATAATTTTTCTGGACTGCATCTTTCCATTCCATGCTTGCTCACGTAATCCTTCTCACTGCCACAGCTCATATCCAATTTAAACAAAGACATCAAGTTCAAATACCAGAGCTACTATTGCACAGCCTCTTTTTTCCCACTTTTCTTTGCTGGTGCTAAGATGCATCACTTTGTTGCTCCACTTCGTCATTTGTCTAAGATGCAAGCTGTATAAAACTGTGAGGTGCATTTTGCACCCATATATAATGCTTCTGAAATGTTTATGCATATTAAGACTTGTTCTATTACAAAGATAAAATTATGTGTTTAAAGCAACAGCTAAAAGCTATTCTTCTCCATTCTTTCATATTAAGTATCCAAGTAGCTGTTTTTCAAATCTCAAGTCATCTACAAAGAATTCATTACACTTTAAATTCCATATTACATGGATTAATAAATTACTTACTTTACAGCAATGAAAAAATTAAACACACATTATTAGCAAAATAATGAAATTAAGTGTACTCTCGAAATTTATAAATGCAAAATCTTTTCTATATTGAATTATTAAGCTTTCATTCCAGCAATGATAATTTTTTATGTTTTTCTCAAAATAGCAAAACCAATATAACTTTAAACAAAACTACTTGATGGGAACTATAATGTCTGTAACATACTTCTCACTTCTATATCACTGATTTTAAGATAATAATTTTGAGTTTTCTTTTTATGAATGTGTGATCAAGAAAAGCGGAAGTGAGTGAAAGTTAGGAAGCTGAGCAATAATAGCAACGGTATTTATAAACTAGATTCCTTTGTTTAAATTCTGGGTCTACAATTGTATACAAGCTGCCATTATGCAGGAGGATTATATAAGCAAACATGAAATGGAAAGATGCAGTCCTGAAAATTGTTATAAACAATTTAGAACAGAAAGGGAGATAGCCAAATTGAGAAATAAAAAGGACTATTGCAAAATTAAAATTAATAATTTTGAGTATAATTATTAATTAAAATTAATAATTTTGAGTGACTATATATTTTATAATGAGACTTGCCAAAAGAGCTTGCTCCTATTTGGTCATATTGGATGTAAAAAATTCGTCGACCTAAGGTCTTGTATTCCCTTAGCTGAAAAGCATATAACTTAAGAGGTCGCTCAAGGGCAGGAAAGGCGATACAAATTGAGGATATAGGTATAAATTTACAAAAACTTTTGCAAAGCAATTCAGCATTATTATTTTTTTTTTATAATACATAAGGAAAAAAAAATTACAGTTACCAAGGAAGAGGTTGCAATTTCTCTTTCTTAGGTTCCTTCCTTTTTTCTCTTCCTTGCATTACAATTACTTAAGGAAGGAAAAAGAAAAAAGAAGAAGGTTGCAAAAATGCAGGAAAATATATTCATTGCAATAAAAATTTGTGCATTGAAGAGTAATTGTTGGATAATAACAAATTTTTCCTGAAGATGCATATCAGGCAGATATACAAATGATTAGAAATATAGCATGATTTCACACTGTGCAATACTAATAGAAGATACTGTACTTTGTTTTCCTTTATGCATAAAAAAGGTTTGTAGAGGTATTTTGCCTGAGCTTAATCTGTTGCAGAGAGACACTTTTTCAATAACAATATTGTTAATTTTTTCACTAAGGATGACCACTAAAGACAAGAAAATCAGTTGTCAGATATTGAGAAACAAGAATCATTGGGATAATGAAAGCTGAGTGGTAAGCTCAGCAAGTTACCCTTTAGGATGTTCTGAATTTACTGTGAAGAAATGTTGGGGCTAGCAGACAAGGAGTATTGGGTCATATAAAGTCTCCACAGTTTTTTGCCACTAGATGGTGTTGATACCTATATATTCAGCAACACTCACCCGATTATCTCAAACAAACACGTGCTTGAAAGGCGAAATTCAGCCTCCATTGTTTGTGAAGACAGTTTTCTAATTCTTTGCTCATGTTAAAAGTTATATTGATTTGAAAATGAGTGAAATATCTGAAGAAATATGCTATGTGATGCTTTTTTACTATAAAAAAGGTAAAAACGCTGCAAAAACATGCCGAAAAATTAGTGAAGTGTACGGTGAGAATGCTGTGAGTGAACAAAGGACCCAGGAATGGTTTGCTCGATTCCATTCTGGATATTTTGATGTCAAAAATAATTCTCGCTCTGGTCGGCCAGTCACTAAAAAAGTTGATGAAATTTTGCTACTGATGGAGCAAGACAAGCACGCAACCTATCAGGAAATAGGAGACACTAAACATCAACCACATGACAGTTTGGAATCATTTGAAAAGAGCAGGCTAAAAAAAGACGCTTAATGTTTGGATGCCACATTAGGAATTGTTCATTATGGTGTGCAACCTAGCAAAACCACCATTTCAGCCCTGTACTGTGAACAACTCGACCATTTGGACAAAACAATCCAGAAAAAGTGATCAGAATTGGGCAACAGAAAGGGAATTGTGTTCCATCATGACAATGAGCAGTGGTCACTTTACTTAACCTGTTCCGCCAAACTAAGTTAAGGGCACTACAGGGTTAGGAAGTCATCCTCGTCATTGCTAGCAATCTGACGGTTAGGCTGCCTTTCTACATTTTACATTAATCTGTAGTTTCTTGGATATAATTATTTTCATTCACTTGCTTCATTATCTCTAAGATGCTCTTGTTGCAGTAATAGTCCGTGAACAATCTATTCACAGGATATGTGATGTAGTGGGAAGGAAAGAACTGCTGTCGAAGGTGCTCTGTCAGAGGGCAGGAGAGCAGGTAATGAAGTGCGTCCGTGTCTTCCCCGCGAAAAATGCAAGAACAGTTGACGTCCCGTCTGAGGAATCGTCTGTAATATGCTGGGATGTAATGTCTGTAATATGCTGGTCTGTAATTTCCCGTGGTTGGTACAGGCTTGGAGGAAGAGTCGGTTGCATTTCAGCCTCTTAAGAGAAGGTATTGGGAAGATGTTGTAAGTAAATCTTCCTGTCTCTTCTTCCTGCCATCGTGATGACCATGTCTCTTAAAATGCTGTCTTGAGGAGCCTTTTTGCAACTTCTGCGGAAAGCGGAACTTCCTTGTCAATTTCTGGTTTGGGAGCTACAGTCTTAGCTAGTTCATCCGCTCGTTCGTTCCCTTTCTGCCCGGTATGTCCTTTTATCCAGTTGATCTTTAAAGGTATGGAAGAGCCTAACGTCTAAGTGCTGCCGTGTGCGGATGTTTTGGAGGAAAGGAATTCAGCGCATTCAGAACACTCATGCTATCTCTGAAGAATGAAGTGTGAGCTGCTGGTTGCGTACCTAACCATAGTGCTGCTTCCTTGAGTGCTAGGGACTTGGCTTGGAAGACTGAAGCATGATTGCTTAGATGGAATTGTGCTTGATAAATTTCTTCATTGTTCGAAAAGACCGTGAACGCTGCCCCTACTCGTCCTGAAAATTTTTGATCCGTCAGAGAAAATCTCTCTTAGTTGTCCATGAGGGTGGCGATTTGCACCAAGGAAGGATGGGTAGATCTCCTGGGTGTAAGACAGGGGGCTTTTGGAAGCTTTCTATGCTTGACATAGGATAGATATAAATCTTCT